GCTGGATCTTCAGATAAATAGGTCTGAGTGCACATTTTTAAGTTCAGTAAAGGAAAGCTAACTTACAGGATTAAAATAATCCCAGAGATTTTTAGGAGTATCATATGTAGACACAGATATTTTCTTTTTGCGTTTTAATTCTGCATTAAATTTGTAATTTTTGAATCTTACTGCTGATTCAAATATGGGCTGCAAACTTATTCCTCCCTATTGTTGGAATTTCATATCTTTTTCTGACTCTACTTCTGTTCTTGGCAGAACTTTGCCTTAAACTTCTCCAGATATTTTAACTCGCCGCTTATTTTCACAGAAGTATCACTTCATACCTTTTGCCCACCTAAGTCTTAAACTTTCCCATCATGTTGCCTGTCTTTTCCTTCAGTGCTTTTCTTGATTCAAACAATTCCCAAGTATGTCACATATGGGCAAAATTAAGTAATTTAGGTCTTTAGAGGAGGAGATTCTTCCCTCAGTTTCTTGCTTTCCTTAATTATGGAATTTTACTTAAAAATTCAAGCCTTTAATGTTATTCAGTAACTAAAATTGTCAATCTCGAAAGCTTTCTTCAAAACAAATTAAACTTAAAATGTGCTCTGCATGAAACAGAGCAGCATTCCACAGAACAGCCATGTCTCGAGTCACAACTCGACTGACAAATGGCAACTAGAAAGTCTGCTAAGCACTACCTGGCTGTTACCTCCTGGAGGAAATAAACAGATCTCCTAGGTTTTGTTGCACTGAAAGGCTGAAAATAACAGACTGAAAGCACCTTATAGAAATGACAAAAAGCAACTTAGTAATGTCAGGAGTATTGTTTTCAAAACATTAAACATGATTCTCATACAAATACATATTAAATCAAAGATTTATATAGCTTGTTAATGAGGAAAAGGATAGTAAAGCTAGTTCAAAGGAAGATACACCAGGCTGAAATTACACACATATACAATACATATTATTCAACAAACTGAAGATGACTGGAATAAGACTGCAAAGTTAGATCAATATCGGGAAGTACCTGGTAAGACAACGAAACTGATCTTTGGAACTGTCTCTACTATTGGACAAAAATTATTTGCAAATTATCACCTTCCTGAGTCTGAACCCTTATTAAAACAACACCCACCCCCACCAGTTGCCTTTGCAGACAATGCTACAGTATGTCTTTGAATCAGATAAATCCTTTTCTAGTCCAGGTTTTGGATAATTTCACATTAACAATTTCACATTTTTGTTCTTTTTTTAATCTGTAAACTACAACCTTGTGACGTGGGAACAAAACAAGCCAAGGAATATCTGACCTATCTGGGGAATAATAAAAATCTAATTTGCCAAGGCACCTCTACATACAAAATCTTACTTGATTCTGACCCCAGCCCCCTTAGATATTCAGGTATCATCCTTACCTTTACAACTGAAAAGGCAGAGGCTCCTGGAGCCGGGAACTTGCCCACATTCCTGGTCAGAACCAGGGCCAAGCTGCAAAGCCAGATCTTTTGGAGACAAAGCCTGTGCTGCTGGCTCTCGGCCTCTCACACTGTACGGAATCAATCAGCCTGAAAATCAGATATAAACTGACAGCACACTAAGCAGGTGCTTTGCTTTACAGATGAAGAAACTGAGGCTTGAGAACACTTGCCTAGTGACTTAGCATAAGAACCCAAGTAAAGTGGATCCTTGACTTATGAACTTGATTGGTTTCCAAGGCTGGCTGTAACTCAAACAGGTTGTAAGTCAATACAGCTGAGATTTGGTTGTTTACCTGGGTACACACTATAGATAACATGAGGCAGATGAATCTTCCATTAACCTAATTACCCAAGGTGTTCGTATGTCGGACCGGTTTTAAGTTGGAAGGTCCACTGTACTGTAGAGTACACATTCTCTAAAGGGTGTAAGACTTCCTATACAAAACAGCTCACTTCATATCCTGCTGTGACTCAAACTTAATCTCTGAAGGCTGAGACCACTGTGCACTGTAAAGGCCCCCACTTCTACGCTGAACCTATACCACAGGGCCAGGAAGTGACCTTGACTTACCCCATCCTCCTTCCCAAACCACCTCCCTACCATGTCGCTCTCTGCCATCTACTTAAGATGATAGACTTCACAGGAAGGTGTTATGACAGGTGACAGCTGAAGGTGCTATTCTTACCAGGGTTATTTGCATTAAGAATGAGCCTATTTGGGCTCAAGTGCTTTCACCTTGTGATTGTTAATCTGTGGGGAGAAGTAACCGCCAGGGCCTTGTAAACTCTCTTACCCTAGACACTAGCTGAAAGCAGAGCTAGGGCTCAGCTAGCCAGGTGTGGTGGCACAGGCCTGCAATCCCACCACTTGAGAGGCTGAGTCAGGAGGATGGCCACAAGCTCAAGGCTGGCCTGGGTTACACAGTGAGTTCAAGACAGACCTGAATTAAAGAGCTAGACCCTGTCTCAAAACGAAAAAGCTAGGGCTCAGCTCACTTTGAATATTTTGTGTGTAGGGACTGGGGCCATTGAAATGCTCACTGCAAAACAGCTGAAGGATGTAAATTTGCTTTGATTTCAAAGTCATTATTTTTAGACTTGTCACAGGGATCCCTTCCAGTAACTTCTACCTGCATATACAGGAGACTGGCCCTGAAAGGGAGTCCTGCAGGTCCAGGTCCATTCCAAGTAGTGTACCTCACAAATATAAACTCAGTCAGCCCTCACACAGGCATGGCGAAGTGTGTACTATCTTCATCTGTTGTGTCCCTTGCCCAGCTCCACAGCCAGGCTTCAAATCATAACGTGGCCCCAGCCTGGTGTTCCCACACACTGCCCTACACTGTCCCTCACTTTCTGGATCTGTACCTTCCAGAAGGGTGTGATTTCTGTACAAGCGTGTTGCTGAAGACACTTTACCCTAATCCTGCTTACCTGTAGAAGGGTCCAACACAAAGATAACTTTGGAGAGATGAAACGCCATTACAGAAGGGCAAACCAGGCTTACGTAGTGATTAGGAAATATTCAAGAGAGGAAAGGCTGAAATACTTTTTTTACCAAGTCTAATACACCTTGACTCTAAGAACCACCATTATCCATCACTAAGAGAAAAGGCTGGCCAATTAAACACTGGTCATGTTAACATGCCACTGAAGTGAAGATGAAATCCAAAAGATCTGTTAAAATGTGAAGGAAAATGTCCAGAATTGAATTAATGAAACACAGTAATATCCAGACAGGCAGGCCAGGCCAGAGACTCAGAAGCTTGGGATCCAAAGGGAAGGGAGAGAATCCCTTCAGTGTGTTTCTCCAAGCTCCAGAACTCTGTGTGCTTGTTACAGTCCCACAACAGATCTGATTTGATGCTACTAGAGTACTTCATCCATCAACTAAACACTATGGCCAAAGGAGAGGAGTGTTGTGATTTGGGAGACCTGGGTCACGACTGTCCCCTCTCTCCCAAATAAGAAAACTGCTAAATGTGAAAGAACTCTGAGAGATGTGCACAGACAAAACTCTGTGTCCACCAGGTTATTATTACCAGGGGAGTGCATTCCAACAGATGTGAATTCAGAACTAGACTTAGACACTGAAGGATAGAGATGGTGAAGAATAGTTCAATTGGTAAGAAAACCAAAACCCTATCTTGTCTATTTCCTCAAAATATCCTGTTGTTATATTGATCTTTAAAACTCACATGACAGTCTGCTGTTAAATTAAGCAACATCAAGTCAGTATGTCTTTACTGGTAGATGTATCACTAGAAATATGAGTTTTAAATGCAAGAGGATTTCCATCTAAAAGGAGAGCTTGTTTTCAAGCATCTGGAAATCATTTAAAATACCTAAATTATTCATTATGTTTAATTATAGTCATCAAGAGCACAAAGTCAGATGATTCTCACAACCTTAGCAGGCTCCTATCACCTTCCATTCAAGTAGTCATCACGTATCAGGCACTACTAAGAGCTAATCATTTCCTTCCAAGATATAATTAGCTCCCAAAAAACAAGAGCATAGGCCAAAATTTCTCATCCCCACGTTTGTTTTGCAGCTCTATTTGTCCACTTCCATTCAGCAGTGGGCGTTAAGTCCATACTTACAAATTAGAGAAACCTTTTTATAAATGAATGAAACTATTTCATTTTTATGAAAGACTCCAACTCCATTCTATTCCAGGTTTGGGTGTGGAGGCATCAGCATCTTGCAAGGCACTATTTTGGGTCCAAACATGTACTGTACACAGCAATCAGTGTCTGTTTGCACACTACAGAATGCAGAGGAGCTATTTAGTTACTATTCGTAAGAGGCAGGCAATTTCAAGAGCACACTGCATATCCTAGGTGAGGCTATTCTTTTGAAAACCTTAAAATTCATCTTGGAAAAAGAATCTGGAGCGCTTTGGTAGTATTTCAGATTTAGAAAAGATGGAGATTATAAACTTGTTTCTTTAGGATAAGCAATATCAAAGGTGAAAATGACAGTGGCTTTGTTTAGTTTTGATCTAGAGAGTGTAACTGGCTCCATCTACTACCTGCTGGTGCTCTGAAACCTTGTTTCTCTGAATCATTATTCTGAGTACACACCTTTTCATCTTTGCAAGTCTTACTCTAAAAGAGATCAATCTGTGATAATTAAGCTGTAACTTTTTCAAAATTTCATTGAAAATACAAACAGAAGTGCTATCTCCTATGTTACAGAACCAACTCTTGAGTTTAGTTATTCTGGAAGCCATGACCTCTAAGGTGCTTAGTCTGTTATGTAAATGCTTATTATGCTAGGCAATGGGAAAACAGGGTTCTTCTTCCTTTTGGGCAATATCTGATCCCTGGAAAAAGTACGGAGTTAATATAAATTATAAACAGCAATAAGCTAACTTTTCAAAATAAGGTCATGTTATAATCTGGTAAGCTCTTCCGTGGAAAATAAGCCCTTCACTAAGCCAGGTCTGTTGTTTTATTTTATATAAAGCCATTTGTAGACTGCCACCTAAAAATAGTGCATTGTTGAATTTCTCTCTATCCCTTCCAGAAATAGTACAAGACTAAAGGATAAAAATGGTATAAATTCATTAGGAACGAAGAAAGAGAGAAGAGAGAAGCCACCCATGGGTGAGAAGAGCAGTAACACCTGGAAGAGCAAAAAGCAGTGAAGACCAGAGAGAGCTGAGTGTCCAGTACATGCAGAGGAGCAGGGCCATTCCCAAGATACACCAGGAAATCCCAGCCACGAGAGGTGCCGTGTTCTGGGGAATGCTGGGGTGAGACCAGGGCAGAAGGCTGGAGGTGCATTTTGTGGACTTATACTGGTTCAACTGCTGGAGACTGGGAGACCCAAGTATGACAGCATGAGGAAGAGGAACTGTACTGAAAGCAAGTTGGCCCATTAAAACCTATGCACTTGAGTACCGAGCAACTGGAATGAGGACTGCTCTCCAGAGGGCACCAAACGGCTCCAGAGAGGAGCCTACAGACACTGACATCTGCAGGTCCCCGGTGAAACAGAAGGACCCACACCTGATCACCATATAATCAATAGTAGAGAGCAAGAAAAGCCTGCAGTCTTTCTCCTCATTTTCAAATATCTGCAGGATGTAAGGCAAGTCAGAGGTCTCCAGGCAAGCCGTGGACACCAAGACCAAAACACAAAGCATGACAGAAAAGAGGCAAAGCAAAACAAAACAACCACAAAAATACAACATCCCCAATAAAATGCATCCCCAGTAAAATACAACATCCCCAGAGACATGAGATACTGAACCTAAGAAATAAAAAAAAAAAAAGACATTTCACTAGAAGTCTGGCAGAGAAAGTACCTTCCTCAGAAAGTGAAACAAAAAGCCAAAGAAATGAAAAATAGAAGAAAAGAAGGAAAGTCAGAAGTTCTAACCAGAATTTCAAATCTGAATGCAGTGACGGGAATTCCACAAAGACAAAGAAAAAAGGGGAGCAAGGGTGAAAAATCAGACACAGTACAAAAACATCTCCCCAAACAGAAAGATTTGGCTTTTCTGATTAAAATGGCTCACCAAGTGCCCAGCATGAAGAACGGAATGGAGACATGCACGACACATACCAATGCACACAATCCTGAAATACAAGAAGGCTGGGGATTTTGAAAAGTACGATACATTTTTTAAAAAGTCTATCCCTGCCCAACATCCACACATAAAGACTGAGAATAATGATAGCACTGGAACTGCACTGCAGCTTTGCATACTAGACAGTATCAACCAATGCTTTCAGATTTGGAGGCAAAATTAAATCAGAATTCCAGCTAAACTAGGTATTTGCACGTGATAGAATAGACCTGCAGACTTGTTACTTTAAACTTTCACCTCAGGTGCGTTTTTTTCACAGGAAGCTTATTGAAGGTTGTGACCCATTAAAAAAGGGTGGTAAGAAAGAAAACTGTATGGGATCAGCAACAGGCTTCCCATAGGAGAAATGAAGGAAAAGCAGAGAAGCCCGGCTTTTTCCTGCAATGCTTGAGGCGGGCGCCGCTGGACTGAATTGTGTACAGCTGCCACACCCTGCCCCCTATTGCCATTCACACCCCTTCGGTTCCTCCTTCCCAGGTAGAGACAGGGACGGCTTGCTCAGTGCCCTCCCACCACCCTTGGGGTTTCCTTGTGGCTCTCTAGGCTGCTGAGGTGGAGCTTGGCTGTCAGCAGCAGTGCCTTCTTCACAGCTCCAGCTGCTATAGCCTCTGTGAAGCAGCAGCAGGGAAACCACCCCTCACATGGCAGACAGGGGCCCATTAACAACACCCAACCCTCCCAAGCCCCAGTAAGCTGTGTTTAGCACAGCTAGCCCCTCTGAGGATTTCCTAATTTCAGCCCTGCCATTTTTTTTTTCTTTTTTTTTTTTTTTACAGAGATAGCTGTTAAACAGCCGGGGTCTCCTACATTCCACCAAAACACCACCATGGTAGAAACAGCTGTCCTGGACATCGCACACCTGCTCCAATGTCTGCTTTGCTTGAATTTGAATCAAGCAGAATTGAGTTTGGACCAATCAATAGGTACAGATCAGAAGGCTTGAGTTTAAATCAATTTGGACCAATCAGCAGGCTCACATTTGGACACTCACAGGCCCCAACTTGGTCCAGTCATGGGCTGCTGTTCAAGCAACGGTCTCCTTACTTTCTAGGGCTGGTTCGTTTAGGTGGCACACATGTTGTGATTTTCTTTTAGGACAAAAGACATTAACCTATGAGTTGTTTTTTCTAAACTCAGTATTCAGATTTCATTGCTGTGTTGGCACTTTGTGATAAATAAGTGCATTCTGAGTTGCAGTTTGGCACTTGGGCTCTAAAAGGTTTGCAATCACTGGTTTAGGGTCTCTGGTGTACTCACGCCCCTCCCCACGCTGCAGCACAGGTTCTGCTCAAAGCCTTTCTCCAGTGTTCCCACATAACTGCTTGCGATTTATTTCTTGGGTATTGTGGGCTTGGAAGGTCCTGTGAATCTACTATGAATTCTTACCCGAGTACTGCAGACAGAGCAGCTGCTTTATGAGAAAGAGCTATAAACACTAGGGACTGTTAGCTCTGAAGGGCTCCAGAGACCAGGGACCAGCATTCACAATTACTGGCATCAAGGATGCTGAACAGAGCTGTAGCTTGCCAATTTATGATTTCTCTGTGAACTGAGTAACAGAACCCTCAACTGACTGATGACAAAGGGAAGGCACAGAATGATGATCAAGGTCCAGTTCTTCTGGTCTTTCAGAAAGCAAGGATTGGTGTTTCCAGGAGAAAGTGAGTGCTGACTTCATGGTGCTGACTCAGAGTGGGATAGCATGTAAATTATACTGAGACAAGCTGGCATGCTTTTGGCTCCAAGTTTCTAAAGATCCAATTAACAATGACCTAAGCTAAAATAGGGGTCTATTTTCTCACCTTTGGAAGAGCAGCAGGTGACTTAGGCAGCTGCTCATGTCATCAAAGTTCTACATTCTTTCCACCTCTTGCTCGGCTACCCTCCACATCTGCTACCTTCTCTCTCAGCTGCAAGATGGTACAACAGCTCCAGCCATCCTGCTCTCACAAACCCAAGCTGGGGCAAGGGACTCTTCCTGTGAGTGAGTCTACGGTCTCAGAAACTTCCCAGCAACATCACCTCTCTTCCATGGTTTACTGGCTGGGCTCCTTCTTAAACCCATCAAAAACTTACAGCATGGCCCCTCATATGCCCAAGACATACAACGTAAATAGGTGTGCAGCTGGCTGAGTAATTTCATCACACTGATGACCCACTTGAGACAAGTGGTTGAGAAACAATGAATTACACCAGTTAGGATGTCTGAACCACAAGGAAAAGAAGACACACCAGAATAACACAGGAGGCTTGCTGGGCTGAAAAGAGGGGAATGATTGTTGGGGAGTTGCTAATGGGGCTTCTAAGAGAAGAGTTCAAGTGTGAAAAGTCTGGGAAAAATTAATGATAGAATATACAAAACTAAATGAAAATAAGTAAGACAATAACTGATTCCAGGAAACATAAAAAGGGAGAGAAAATGCAACAATTCACTACTTGATTGAACATTTAGGCCTAGTAACAGAAAACCTTTGATTCATCATAAATGTTCTACAGGAAAGAGAGAGTGGAGGGAAGCAGTGGTAGTAAAAGTTTTAATCTGTATTTTCTGGAATAGAAAGTCAAGAAAATACCTGAAACCAATAGATTAAAAATATACACTCTAAAAATAGTGTATTAGAAATTCACCAGAGCTGGGAATAACTGGAAGTTGTTCTGAAGAGGGTGAAACGGGATAAAGTAGGAGGCAAAAGAAGCGGCTACTTTTGTTAACTTTATAAAAGTATTTCTTGGGCTGGGGACATAGCGGAGCGGCACCACACCTGCCCACCAAGCGCAAGGTCCTAAGTTCGATTCCTGACACTAGAAAAAAAAAAAGTACTTTTCTCCTCTTTCCCTATCCCCATTCCTCCAGCTGTCCCACCCCACATCCTGAGACTCACTGGGTGGCAGTCAGGATAAGAATCCACACCAAAAGTTATGAGTACACATCAGGTCTTTTGCTCTTTAGGAAGAGGTCAGTGCCTCATGGCAGGAGAGGCGGTGGTTGAGCCCCATAGGTTTAGGTGGGGAGCAGTCAAGTCCTGGGACCTCAGTCTGCACAGGAAAGGCACAACCAATTCTCTAGTGGGCGTAACTGCAGTGACAGACCTAAGCTGGTGTCTTGTCACATCAGAAGCCTCGGAGAAAGGGCGGAGGCTCTGTAATGAAAGCAGCTTGTTCTTGTGGTGCTAGAAATCGAACCCAGAACCTCACATATGCTAGCTAAGAGTGCTTTACCACTGAGTTGCCCACTGCAAGCCCCACTCTATTAAGCTTTGACTATTTTAGAAGTGTCTCATTACAAGGAGCCATTTACTTGGAGACCTCAAATCCAAAGACAGGAACTGCTCCCAGTCATCCTGACGTAACACTGCTTCCCACTGTGACCCCCTAAATCACATTTTCCATGATGTGTATAAAGTACTTTAGTGGCTTTCAAACAAAACCTGACATGGAACTCAATCCACACAATGTCCAGGAATGCAGGATATCCCCCCAGACTTCCTTCCTGAAGTTCAGCTAGAAACCATTCATTCCCACTTACTGCTCCCACCAAGGACTCTCCTGGGCTCTTCCTTTCCACACCTTGCCTCCCTCTGGCAGCACAGTCCTCCTACGGCCCACTTCTCCAGGAAGCCTTCTATGACCACCGTTCACTGGAGGTGTCGTTACATGGAATCAATTCACCCAACAATACTTCATGCACACGCAGCTCCACTGCGCTAACCCGCCCACATCACTGCCTCCCACTTTGATCCTTTACTCACAGTGATAAAGGACACAGATAGGTTAAAAAAAACCCACCATTTTAGAAACAATTTTATATAAATAGATTCTTATGAAAAGAAGAAACACATGTACAGAGCTCCCAAATTACCAATGAGCTGGACCCTCACCCTTCTTTTCTGCAGTGGGGAAACAGTACAGAGAATGGGAAAAATGATTCCATTCCGTTCTTAACTGTTTCCACCTATGCAGCCAGTTTTTCAAGCAGAGTTTCTATTCCTTTGCTGGTGTTTTTGTTTTTTTCCAATGTAGGAATCAAGCTTTTCAGTCCCACTTTGACTTTATTTGCAACTTCTTGGTCAGTACTCTGCAGAAGGCTGAGGAAGAGAGGAAAAAATTAACAAAAATTAAGTGTCATAAAAACCCCTAGATAATCTACAATACTATTGTACCCACAGTATAAAAGAATTCACTCATTGCAAGCCAAGTCCTATAACTATATACAGTATACGTTTTCTTTTAATTCACCAGAAGAATGAAGGCCAGAATCCTATATTCTAAAACCGCATGAAAAAAAGTTTATAATCTTACAGGTGAAGACATTCAAGCAGACTGCAGTGACTTCATCTTAGGACTCAATTACGTCCTATATTAAAATTATTCTACCTGTACTCTTTATCTTTCCCTCCCTATCTAGATTACAAACCCGAGAGCAGAGCTGACTGAATCCAAGTGAACGTGCACATGAAGAGGCAAGCTGTGGGGCATGAATGATAACAGTCAGTAAGTATTCCTAAATTCCATACCTATAACACTCACTGAAGTCAGGGTGGGTTTATCTTCAAGTTTCACTGACTGAGTTTGAAACTTGTCTCTGATACTACATGGTTATACAACCAAGAAGATGCTATTTAAATTCCCGAGGACTCAGTTTCCTGATCTGTAGAATGGAATTAAAGAGGACTCATCTTCTCCCTCACAGATTTGTTTGTTTTCAGTATGGTACTGAACCCAGGGTCTCATACATGGTAAGACCACTGAGCCACACCCCCAGGCCCTGCAGGGTTGATTTCAGCATCTCAAATGATCTGAGACCGACAGGAACACTGAACCAAATAATCCCAGCCCCTGCTTCCTGGAACCTTGCTGGCTGGAGTGCTCTAACACCAAAGGGAAAAGAACCCTGGAGGCTGGCAAGAGGACCACACTGCTCTTTAACTGGGACTTTTCACGGTCTCCTAACCACAGAACATCAGGCCTGAATTTCCTGTCTCTCACCACTTCTTCTGGACCACATGTAAATGATGATCTCTGAATCACATTCTAGAAGGAAATCACTTGGCACTTTTAAACATTCCCAGTCTTAATAACTTCCACCATGTTATTCAAGAGCATGTCAGGGGCCGGGGATTTAGACCCATTCAATCCCTGGTACCAATAAATAAATAAATAAAGAGCATGTCAGTCAGCACCAGGTAGCATTCAATCATTGTGCGGAACAAGCAATAGTGCAACCAGCCACCTGCAAAGTGGAAAAAGTCAAAAAGCAAAGTGCCCCCTAAAGGGACTTGTGACTTGGTGTTTTTATTTTATACAACTTGGCTAAACACAGTTACATAAAGCATAACACCAATACAAGCTAATATTTATCGAGCATATCAGATATAATGAGAGGCATTTTATATGCAATTTTCATGACAACTTTAGGATTATTATTAACCTTACTTTACAACCAAGAAACACAAGAAAAAATTCATTTTCTCAGAGCTACACAATAAGCTAGGACTGGAACCCAGCAGTCTCTCTAGAGACAATGCTTTTGGATGCTAGAGAATTCTGCTCTACTGAGTTATATTTTAGCCAGCATGCAAGGTTGATTTTGTCAAAAATGCTTTTTCGGTTACTGTAAAAAGACTAAGCGAGACAGCATAAAACATCAAAAAGTTCCAAAATAAACCATGGATTTTAAGTAAAATATAAACAAGAAGGGAATTTTACCAACTAAGTCAAACTCATCACAATATCCAGAAACCAAACAAATGATTATTATCTCGTTCAACTTCCATTTAGAACCTCAAATATTTCATATGTTCCTGTACCTGCTCCAAGCAGTGCTCCGTAATATCCCATAATATCATTATTATGTTTGAAATCTACCCAAGAGCTCTGATTGATGAGCATCTTTATAAATTAATTTCATGGCAACACTGAAATCTCTAGTTAATTGAGTATAATGAAAGAATTTGTCAGTAGGTGATAACATTTCAAATGCCTGGTAAAGAAATTCCTACCAAAAAGTTCATGTTTCAGTTAATGGATTCTGACTGTTCAACATCAACTGGAAAACGAGCTAATTTTAATGAGAAATGAACAAAATGATCTGTATCTAACACTCAAATATCTGGAGATACTGATCTACTGGAAGACATAGCTGTCACTGTGTGTTTGTGAGTATAAACACACTAGGTTTTGACCTAGTTATATATTGAAGAAACATTTAACCTAATACAACAACATAGTTAAACTGCATAGCAAATTCAAATAAAATATGCTGAGAGATTCAAACCAGGATTAGTATGTTTCCCTTGGTAACACAGCAGTCAACAGTGACTGCTTCAAATCAACACACAAGTCTTATAAAATGAATGTTCTTAACAGAAGGGTATCATCCAGGCATAAAATACTCAGAAATTTCAATGACCTGTAAACTACAAACTCAATGTAACTAAGTCCAGAGAACAATACACAAGATGGACCTCAATTTGCACATCGTCAGTTTCCTCTCAATTTAAGTTAGATATAAAACAACTAGCACACAAAAAACAAATGATCCTGTAATCCTTTTGGAGTCCACAACAAAGAAAATTGCACGGAAAGTTAGGCATGATTTAAAAACAGCGCTCACAGTTTTCACTGGGACATGACTTGCAGTAGTGCATGCTTACAATCCTAGCACTTATGGAGATTGAGGTAAGAAGATTACAAGTTCAAGCCCAACTGAGCAACTAGCAGGCAACCCTGCCTCAAAATAGAAACACACACTCACACACACAAAAGGGCTGGGGATAGCTCAGTGAAAGAATGCCCTTGAGTTCAACATGGGCCCAGTATTATAACAACAACAAAAACATAATGTTTGGGTCAAAATCATAAATCGTGAAATCACCATGATACCTTGTAAACACCACAATTTTGTGATCTTTGACATCCATAAGATGTCAGTTTAAAAGAAATCCTAAGGATGAAATGAAAAAGCTATTACTTCCTACTTGCTTTGGTGTAGTTGTCTAGACCATGAACAGAGCAGTACCAGCCTACTAAGAACAAACACTAGAACTGAGGAATAAGGGTGAAGAAGAAGTACATTTTGCATACCAGTTCCCATACACAGAAAGATACACATTTTACATACCTGGAAAGAATAATAGCACCCCGATTCACACTAGCCCATGACTTCAGGTTCTTCATACCAACATGCTCTACAAGTGTTTTTGCAAAACAACCTGTAAAAGACACTGGAACTCAGTAAACCTTTTATACCAAACTCCCAATCTTCTTTTCCACCACCTCAAGCTTGCAAATATATTTTAATTTTAAAAAGCTAATAACAAGACTTCTTCATCTCCCTTAACACTGAAAACTCCAGTGTAGGTTTATATGTCAATACAGACATTTCTTTTAATTCTGACCCAAACGCTGAGCTATGTTCACCACTAATTACTCAAGAAAAAGGAATTCTTAAAGAATGCTTACTTGGTCATGTTTGCATTTCTTTGCAATATTTAGTGATTTAACCTTTATCTGAAAGTTATTCAAGGAGTAAATGTTTGACAGCAGCACTTTGTGTTTGGCTGAAGCCGTGTTTTCCCTCATAGGGGAATGCTTACCCTCAAGGTGCCATGAACACAGTTAGTGACTGAAGAATCCGTACTTGAGCTTTTATCTGGCAATTTCTCCCTACAATGCTTAGATATCCACACATCAAAAATACCACTCATCTTATTTAGTACTTCTGACTTGCAAGGTCTTGGTATTACTCATTCACTGTGCCATCTAGTGTAGCCCATTCTTGGGCAAAGAAATTCTAAGGGCTCGGATTCATGGCAGAAGGAGGGAGGGATAACCTACCCTGAAAGCAACCGTTCAGGTTAGGTAGCCTGAACAATTCATTCAAAGACACCCAAATGTAAGGACTCTTTAAAGCCAGGGCCAATGGCTATGCACCTTTCATGGCACCTGCTTAGAGACTCAGGTCAGCCACTAAAGCAGCCTGTGTTTTCCAAAGTAACCACAATGTCTCCTGTCCTATGTGCTTCTACTGGGCAACTCCAGAGAAGCAGAGCAGAGGCTACACCGAACTCTGACTCTGTTTTGAAAGCTACTAAGTTTTGAGGTGGCTTCCTACACAACGAAAGTAATCAAAACTGCCAGACACACACATTTAGTGTGACACAAAAGACAAACACATCAGGCCCAAACACACAGGGCTCTGTGCATGCTCATTAAGAGAGAAAAATCACTTGACAATTCCTTAGACTTCAACTTCTCTGGCATCAACTCAACTTTGCATCAACTTCCTTAATAACGAAAAAGATCATTCATTAGATTATTTTTCCTTCAGTATTACAAACATCCTCTTTTATATATATATAAATTTTTTTTTCAGTGAAAACTAGCCGCAAGTCCCTATTCTTAAAGCTAAGATGAGAAGTAAGACAGCTCTATCCCCATACTGATTGACTCACTGGCCACCAACTGCAGCCTGCCTCGACATAAATCCCTGGGCTGTCATTCTTTTCCAGCATAGTAACAGGAAGTCCAAACTGTGCTAGCTCAGTGGGGGAACTCTCCTTAGTGGCCTAAATACCAGATGGGAGTTTGATTCAGCAAGAGAAAGGCAGGATGACGAAGAAGGGAATGGTATGCCACTCTCCAGTTAGAAAAAAGATGCTGTCCTACTCTTCACAGCTGAGTTCCTACAGAGCAGCTGTAAGGTTTACAGAAGGCCAGAAAGTGGCAAGGACTGGGTTGCTCTTCAGCCACATGTATCTCAATGCCAAATACACAGGCAACCATCCAAAATTCTCTGATGATAATTGCTTACTCTTTTCTCAAAACTAGAGATAAAAATCATGCCTTTCAACTAGGGGTAATGCTATACCATCCTCAAAGAACAGAGCAGGATTATAGGACATTGACCTAGTCTGGTTAAAAGTCTGAAGGAGCAGAGAAGAGAGAAGTGAGAGAGGGTGGGAAGGAGAAAAATGGCTTGGACATGTTTCTAGGAGAAAAAGTATTACTGGTAATGACTAAATAATTTCTTACTCAGATTCATTTCTGAACATTTGACATGGTTCATGTGAATTTAAATGGCCAGCGTAAAGTTCAGGAATGCCAGGAATTACAAAGATTCCGCATTAGACACAGCAAAAGGTCAAACCGCATAGTCTACCTTCTCTTCCATTTTCTTTCATCTTTTCATCTTGTTCTATTAACCACTTCAGAACTAGATGTCCCGCGGGATGTTCTGCAACATGAAGCTGTGAGGGATCAAGAACACGTTAATTCCAAAACTTTCACATCCATGCCCTGGCCCAAAATTTAATCTGTATCATCACATGCAGATGTAAGACCCAGCTGGGTTTCAAGCTCCACAAGGGTACAAGCATCTTGCTCTAGAATGCCCATCCTATCTAGAGGGGTCAGAGACCCCCACTACTCCCAGGCTGCATTGAGAGGGTCACACAAGAGGACGCAGCTCCAGCAGGAAGCTCAGATGTGGTTTTGGAGGTTCCAGGCTGAATAGCACCCCCACTGCTCATCTCAAACAATGCTGGCCCCGTTTCCCATGGTAACATGCAGTTCTAGGGACAAATAAACCTCTGGGGCAGAACACTACAGCAGAAATATTAAAACTTAATGCTGAATTTTTAAATACACATCACCAAACTATCTGAGGAGCAGGCCAAGAAAGTGCTGTGCAGCTCAATCCTACTCCTTTTCAAGGGACACACTGACTATTTCCACAGGACCTGGGAGGGTCGCCCCTTCAGGTACAGCCTCCCGAGAGGAAACTTTCACTGCATATTCATCTCTTTCATTTGTTAGCATGATCTGCTCTCGAAGGGCAGGGGCCAAGGCTTCTCTAAGACCCACAGTCCACTTCTTTCCCAACCCTGTACCTCAAGAAGCACCCTGAGCACTCAACACCTGGCATCACTTTTATTCAGAACCAAATACATACTGGTTTGAAACATTTTCAAGTGCCCAGTTGGTTTCCGGGGATTCAAGATGAGTAACACATTATAGCTGCTGGGCAAGAGCTCTCAGCTATTAACTCAACAGCACCTTGCCCTCTTGGGCTTTCATTCCTGCTGACACCCTGGCCCTTCCACCACCTTTTCTAACGGTCTTTTCCCCCTCTCTGGGGAGATCCTGACTGATCTCAAACAGGCCTAGTTATCCGATCACTTCTGCCAGAGATTGGTCCAGAAGTATACTGGTTCCAGCCAATATGATTTCAAGAAAGCTATCTGCAGGCCTTCTTCCTAATCCCAGGAAAAGCTTTGCTGCTCTTGCTCTTTTGCTCCTGTTGGGACTCTGATTCAAGGACAAGAGCTAAGGCTGTGAAGACTCTTGTAATCACAACACAGTTAAAGATACATAGACGGGAGAAGAGGGAAGACAGAGCAATCCAGTGAAGTGGAATCTGACACTGTGCACTTCTGCTTTTCTTATGATTATTAATCACCTAAATGCTACCATGAAGCAGTCTATCCATTGCCGCAAAAACATTCCTCACTCAACACTATCCACAGTATTGGTTTAAAGTCTGGATCAGGACCAAAAGTCAGGTATCACCTTGTATTGTAACACCTTGTGTGCATGTGTCTCTCCAATGGAACCCATGTTCTTTGGGCAGGGACCCTGTCATTTCAGGTATGAGTATCGTTTTAAGCACTCACAGCAGGTCACACTTTTGATTAATGTATGAAAGGCACAGAACTTAAATAACGTATTTCATACCTTCAAACTGTACACTAGGAATAATACTGAAAGGCTACTGTGAGATTGAGACAAAGGCTTCTGTGAAACTAAGTGAAAGCAGAGGGCACTGACTCTGAAAATAGTAGGCTCTCCACAGTCTGTCTGCTGGGAGCCAGAGTGAGCTACAGGTCCTGTGTGATCTGCCTTCAGCTTTCTTTTTCCTTTGCTTGCCGATTCCAACCCCGAGCCCTTTCTTCTCAAACCCGACATGCTCCTACCTTCCCTAGAGCTGCTGTACATGCTGCTCCTTCAGCCTGGAATTTTCTATCATTCTTCACTGAGCTAGTATTCTTTCAGGCCTCAGCTTTACTGTTCTTAAGCAATCCCACAGAGCCTGCAATTGTCTTTCATAGCTCTCATTTCAATACTAATAATTATTTGTGTAAATACGTGCCCTTCAAATGCTAAGTGACTGGCAGGGCAGTGCTGGCCACTGCCTTGCACATATCATAAGTGCATGAACCAGTGATTTAAATGCAGTGTAGAATATTGGGCTCAGATAACAGCGGCAGGAGAGATTAGAATGCGCAAATTTTTTGAGAATTTAGGGAAGGTTTTATTCACGGAGGATTCTGGGGATGTTAGATGATCACAGCTTTCCACAGACAACACAGGGAAATGGAGAAATGGGGCAGCAGGCAAGGTGGAAGGAAGAAGCACCCATAGCAAAATCATAACAAAACTTAGAGGAGTATGGACTATTCTAGAAAGGTGTCATGGGGCCAATCATTGGCACAAAAGCCACAGTGAGATTCTGTCTTTACTCTGCAGATAACAGCAACTACTACACACTTTGGAGAAAGACAAGTAGTACAACGTGTGGCGTTTTGAATTCACAATTTTAAAATGTACTATCAGCATGAGGTGAGTTGAGGTAACTATTGTTAAAACTTCCTGTTGTGATGTTCCTGCTAGCTGGAGCTTTTAAAGTCCTTGAAGCTTTCCCACCTGTCTCTCAGTAGCATACTACCTTTCCATCCTTGCCACCAGGGTGTAGTTCTGCTGCCGCCAAGCTGGCGATGGCATCCATGGCAGGCTGAGTGTCTCCAGTGGCGGATCCTAGAATGTCTGACACCAACACACACGCAGACTTATCTAGCACCATCTCTTGGGCATTCCTTTGTAGGTAGTTTAACAAGGCTGGAGAAATAGATTCTAAGAGTTCATGACGGCGGATCGCTGTATCTTTCTTACTGTGAGAAAATGTCCAATGAGGGTAAGGTAAAATAAATGGCAAAGGAAACAGAGTGATCTTAGTATCACAGAACCTCTGGGAGCTTGTCACACTCTACTGTGACTTTGTGTCACACTCTGCTGTAACTGTCAATCATTCTGTTGAGCATGTGGGTAGTAGGTGATTTGAGGGTGTTGTTTTTCATATTTGCAACCTGGATCTGAGTAGTGTCTGACACAGAACAAGCACTCAATAAATAAAGCTTGGCCTGTACAATACAAAACAACAGTAAGAGTCACAAACCCACCCAAAAAAACAAACCAAACCAGTGTTAAGTTTAGACTACTTTAGGAACTCCATTCTCCACAGTACTCAAATATATGGTAAGCCCCACACCTGAATCCCATCTATGTGCCAGGTGCTCTCAGGTCTTTAGCATGATACTTGTATTTTTTTGCAGTATAACAACTTTAAAAATCTGTCAAAACTGAAGCAGAATTCATCTTTTGAGACGCTGCAGAGATGTCGAGAGAGAGTGTGCATGTGTGAGTGGATTTCTGGAAGCAGATGCTACTCAGAATTAATGTACAACAACAACAACAACAAAAGAATTAATAGACAACCAGAGGCTTTTACCTGTGTGAGTTTCCATCTCCTTTTTGCAGAACCTCAATGATTTCTCGAACCGTATGTGCAGGATCTCTTGGACTCAGTAAGTACAACAAGACTTTCCTTCCGTATTTGTCATTTACTACGTTAGACAAGGAACTGATAATTTCCTATAAAATTATAAATAAAGAAATGAATCATTGCCTATGTTCCTAAAGTATACTTGGGACTAGAATGATAATGAATATATACTTAACTCCTCAGTGTACTTACTGGCAAATGTGGAGTTAGTCCTACAATTGTCTCACTGAAGCAGAGATTTATATTTGGAACACAGATTCAATTTCTGCTGTGACTAGTGTCACTGAGCAAGTTATTTATATTAACTTACCTAGCTCAAAGACTTTAAAGAATATTTCAAGGAGTTATTATCATTCATTACAGTATTTCTTAGGCCACTGTTCTTTTTTTTTTTTTGTACCAGGAATCGAACTCAGGACCCTGTGCTTGCAAGACAGGTACAGTGCCACTGAGCTAAATCCCAGGCCCAGACCACTGTTCTTAGGGACAGCATTTGCTGGGGTCACAGAGTAGATACAGTGAATTTGCAGCTGCACTTGAATGCAGCATCAGCCTGGAGGATGCACATGCCCCTTGGGAGGTTCCGGCTGAGATGGACATGAGGGAGACTGAGGAAGTCTGTTAAACAGAACGAGTGGACAAAGGCTTTTCAAGTTAGCTTGCTTATTCACAGGAAATAAAGGCTGTTTAACTAGTGCAGTAAAAAGCAAGAACAGAAGGTGAAGAGAAAATCCAGAAGACTCCTCTGCACTGTTACAAATTACCCTGTATAATATTTTTAATCAACATACTTAACAAGACCCTCCCTTCTAGTTGTATGAATTTAAGTAATAAAAGAAAAGTTGGTCTGCCCAGCTAAGCTCCTATGTAAATAGGCGATGTTTTCAAAGGCAGAAAGCTACTGTTAAGAGAAATGCAAAGAAAAATCATCATCCCCCAACAGTTCTGTTTCTTATAAAAACCTTTATAAATCTTCAAATGTACTTGTTTCTAAGCCCATAAACTCTTTAGACCTGATGGAGGCCACAATGAGAATTAAGCTCAACTCACCAGGTTTACAGATGAGGCATCCAGAAAGGAGATAAGCAACTTGCCAGAGGTATGGTACATCAGGAGGAGGGCTGACTAGTCTTGGTTCCCATACTCTAAAACTGGCCTCTAAGAAAACATGCAACTTCCTTGAAAGGAAAGGAACTCTATGAAATGATAGTTGGGTCTATTCTTCTTTAAAATGTCTATTATGGCAAGATTAGTAATTTTAGTGCAAGGAACCAAGCTAAAAATTAAGTCAGTTATTAAACATGGGATGACAATGCTTCAAACTTCAAGATCCCACAGCTGATGCAACTCTCCAGATTCCCACACATGGCCCCTCCTCACCCTTGTGCAGTTTTGGGGAATGAACCCGGGACCTTCACTACATCCCCAGCCTTTTCTCTCCACTTTTTTTTTCTTCCAGTACAGGGGATCGAACTCAGGCCCTTGTGCTTTTGAGGCAGGCACAGCACCACTGAGCCAAATCCCCGGCCCCTCCCTCTTTTAATTTTGAGGCAAGAGTCTAAATCACTAAGTTGCCCAGGCTGGGCACAAACTTGTGATCTTCTGGCCTCAGCTTTCCAGAGTGCTGGCATTACAGGCACATGCCACCATGGCCAGCTTCCTGTTTCTCTTTTTAAAACCCAAAGCCTCCCTCATTTTTGAACGGTGTGTGTGCTTCCAATAGGTAGGTAGCATTAATAACTAACACTTGTTAAGTGCTTACTAGCATCCAGGCACCACCAAGAGCCATACATCTATTATGTTAAATGAGCTGAGTGACCTTCACACTACCGTGTCCTTCTTCCATGACTCCAATCCCCACTCAGTTCTAACTACTTCTGAAGAAGTTTATAATCACACCATAATGATTCCCACATAAAATATAAAAGTTCCAGAACAGACTCAATAGATCTAATACCTCAAAATGGTTATGTAATTTTAACCGACCAGGGAAAATGAACTTAAAATTTCAGTAATACAAGGGAAGACAGAACAAAAAGCATACAGAATTTATAATAGGGTAGAGGTTCTTTTGTAATTGCAAAGTTAACAAGTCCAGGAATGGGCTCATTATGTGTTGTTTTGTGATGAGATGCTTAGTTGCTCAAATATGGGGGACCCTTGGTATATCTTTATATACCTTTATATGGGGGACCTTTAGTATATCTTTAGATACCTGTTTTGTTTTTTGTTTTCTATTAAATTCTTTTATTGGTACATTGTAGGTATACAACACAATAACATTTCTCATCGGGAATTGTACCTTTACATAATGCATCTTGGTTCTTATTTTTTCCCCATTCCTAGCCCTCCCTTCACCCCCTCCACCCTTCCCTATTTACAAAGACTTTATTTCCATTTTTTCCATTTCTCAGCATTTTTCCTTTCCCTTCTTTCCTTTCCCCTGCCCCTCCCACTACCCCTACCCCTCTGGACCTTTTCTTCCTATTTTGCATTATCGATTATTCATTCTAATCATTGGTACATTTTAGGTATACAGTATAATGACATTCATCATTGGAAATTTGCACCTTTACATAGTCTCTCTTGGTTCTTATTTTTCACCCTTGCCCAGCCCTCCCCCCTTCAACCCCTCCAGTCCTCCCTATTTACAAAGATTTTGTTCCTATTTTTCCATTTTCTCATATTAATCCCATTCCCTCCTATCCTTTCCCCTAGCCCTCCCACTTCCTTCCCCTTTGCCCCTTTTCTTCCTATTTCACATTACCTATTATACATATTAGTCCTTATTTACACTTTCAGTTTCTCACACCAGAGAAACTATTCGGTATTTATTCATGTGTGTCCTATTTATTTCACTTAAAGAGTATCATCTCAATGTGCACCCACTTAGCTATAAATGTCTCTAATTTCTCATTTTTTATGGCTGAGTAGAACTCCATTTTATTAAAAAACCACATTTTCTTTATCCAGTCTCCAGTTGATGGACATTTGGGCTATTTCCAAGTTTTAGCTATCACAAACTGTGCTGCTATAAACATGGGCGCACATGTATCACTGTGGTATGATTCTTTTAATTCTTTGGGGAAGATCCCCAGCAGTGGAATAGCTGGGTCAAATGGGACTTCCCCTAGTTCTTTGAGGTTCGATACTTGTTTTAAATTTCAACTTAGAGATGTTTTGTTATTTAGTCTGTTAATTTGTTGAAAGAAGTGAGAATGTTAACTAAAGCTGGCCATTTTCCACAGTCATAAAAACAACAACCCTTTGCTTTCCTAAAAAAATGACAATAAAATGTAATACCTTCAAAACAAGGAAGATGCAGTGAAAATTATAATGACTACTATTTTTAATCAGAATGTTTTTCTTGGTGTACAAAGGAAAGAAGTACCAAGCCACCAATGTATTCCCTCATGGGCTACACAATGAAGGACAAATCTAGCACGTCTTGGACAGAAATTGTTTTTTAACATAAGAAACTAGAACTTTAATATATGCATAAAATCTGTGCATAACTATATTCAAGGAGTAGTCCCCGAATTCACTGCACTTTACTGTCTTTTGGTTTTTAAATCATGTTTAAAGTTTTTTTTAAAGTACGCAAAGTTTACAAACTAACACTTTTATGAAACTGAAAAATGCTCATTTAAAAATGCGGTATTTAACTCTCCTCCATCTCACTTTCATTCCCGCTTTCTCCTATGACTGAAATTACAAATCTTTGAAAAATATAAAGCAGTATACAAGTGTTGCTGTATTATGGGGGTACTACCCCATTTCTCTTTAACCTTGTTTACAGAGAAAGAGGAAAGAAATCTCTAGATTATCATCTAGAGAGTATTAACAATTCCTTTCACATACGTATAATTAAAAGACAACTAAGCCACAGTTGATTTTGTGCTAAATTTGGTCTCTGGAGTGTTAAAGTCAGGCTGTGTAGCTTTTGGCAAATCCTTTAACCTCTCTGCACATCAACCCCCTCATCTGTAGAAGGAAATGGTTCACCTGCTTGACCATGTGCTATTACTATAAGCAAATCAGAAAATTCACACCGCCGCTAAAAACTGCTACACTTATCACACACCTTTCAATGTAGAGCATTTTTATCTAGAGATGAAATAAAACTGGTGGAACTCTTAAGTCTTCACCCTCACAACCAACAATATGAGCCCAATTTTAAGTTTGGCTTAGCTTACCCTTATAAGAACTAAAGGAAAATCCTATTAAGGACCATTTGTTCTAATTTCTTATGTTCTGAAGCAGGCATGTGAGCAGAAGGAAAACATGGGAAGAACACAAGACCTCCCTCTTAAAGATTTCTTTGGCCACTTCTTTTTCCAAGTTTATTTGCTTGTTTATTTATTTATTTATGGGGTGTTGGGGATCAAATCCAAAGTCCTGTCTATCTGCGGGGTGCTGGGGATCAAACCCAGTCTTGTGCATACTAGGCCAGTACCTGGCCAGTTCTGACTTTCTAGTGTTGAGCCCTTGCCAGACTCCTTGGCATTCTTGTTTCACTCACCCTCTTTTAGATTAGAGGAAGGGTGGAAGGGTAAAGATCAAAATCAAAGCTGTGCACAGGAAGTAGAATTAGAGCATATACACATTTTCCATGGGGCATAGAACAGCAAAAAGCAACACATATTACTGAGAACTGAGCCTGTGGTGTACATAATCTGTGACAGGGAGCAAAAAGAAATGGAAACCTCTTTAGCCTTAAGCAGCTAAAATCCATCAGGAGAGGCAAGAAAGTTAATGGAAAGTTAAATACCAACAGAAGTGTTGGAGTGGTTTCTTTTAAAAAATGGTGATTTTATCCCAATGTCCACTTTTTGGCTCCACTCAAAAAATTGGCAAGTCTAGTTTAATGGGTGTAAGGTTTCGGTTTTATAAGAAAAAAATGTTCTGGAGACTGGCTGCACAATATGCGTATATTTAATACTACCTGACTGTATTTCGGAAAATGGTTAAGACGTTGCATTTTACATATGTGCTCCACATCAATCCAAAAGAAAAGTGGGATGGTCCATCACACTGCCAGGCTGGAGGTGAGCGGTGGCACCTGGAACAGAGGCTTCTTCAACCCCTACCACTCCAACCCTGGTCTCCTGCCTGGCCGCCCTCACTCATGGACATTTCTGAGTTCCTGAGCTCGGCACCAGATCACAATTAACTGCTGAATGAACAGATGGCAAAGACAAAGACAACAGGGCTTGAGAGGATACAGGCACACTAAACCTAGACGGGAGATCAGAGAGTACTATAGAGACTGCTCTTATCAGAAAACAGGAGGAATGCTTATAGTCTCGACCCAACATTTCAGGAAACTCAGTTATTCTAAAGAGAGCATTTAGCAATGCCAAGCTTTTTTGGATATTTTTAACTAGGCTGCATAATGCAATAGGTTTTATAGTGGCTGAGAAGGAAAATAGACAAGTGACTGTCAATAAATATGTGCAACACTTCTGGCAACCCAGCAATTCTGGTTGGTAGATGCCTTAGAAAAACTTTGAATGTGTGCATAAAAAAACATACACATTATTGTTCACAGGATTATTTGGAATAGCAAAAACTAGTAAGAAATAAAGAAATTCTAGAAACTATTAAAAAATCAAACACTAGGGAAAAGTTAAAAATTGCCATTATTCACATAGTAAATATTTGGTATTGAAAAGTAAATGAGGACAAAGGTGGGCAAATTATATTTCACAGGTCAAATACATTCTGTACTCTATTTTTGTACATCCTGCAAGCTAAGAATGGTATTTACACTTCTAAGAGGTGCTAAAAAGCAGAAACAAAACAGGACTATGAGATAGAGACCATATACGGCCTATAAAACCTAAAATAATTACTATCCAGCTCTTTACAAAGAAGGCTTGCTAACCTCTGATGAACAAGTCAAATGAAAACAGCAAGTTGAAGAAGCATACAGATACCACTTATGCAGAACTTTTAAATATGAAAAATAATTAGGGATAGGTATGTTAAAGGCTTACACTATATTTGTCAGATTACTTCTTTTACGCCAGATAGTGGGAAGCTGAGTGTTACATGTATTTTAAAGATACACATTTTAAGATATGCATCATTACTGTATTTACCCTCAAACAACTGGTTAACTGTACTTACTAGCTTCCCAAGAAACACTACTGTCAAACCAGCTGCATCACACCAATGACTTCAGGGTAAGCTGGATCAACCTTTATGAGTAAGTTTGAAAAGTAAGTTTGGAAACTAAAGTAGGTGAGAAACAATTTGTATCCATTTTGAAAGGTGGAAGGCTCGGCTGACCAGGCTGTGATTTTACTCTGATGTTTATAGAGAAGTCCAGGTTTCCTGCATAGAGTGCTTAGCTACACCAGGCTTTCTTGGTTAGTTTTTAAAAACACTGCACACTCCAACAGGTTTTGCAGTAGATGGGTTGGAAAAATGCAAGAGCAATTAGCATTCCAGAGTTTTATCACTAGCTACATAGTTTAAAAATATATAGAACCCATTGAGCATTGTGGTTAGAGGTGAGAAACCAACAAATCAGCCCACTCAGGGAAAGCTGTCTGAAGTTAGAGTCACTAGGAATGTTGGTTAAATATCTGTGGGAATCCAACTGATAAAGCACAAGGAATTAAAACTGTCTCAATAGCAGCTTTAAGTAGGGTAAATTTCTGGAGATTAATTTAACAGACAATTTTGGCAAATTGTGAAAAAAGTTTGGTTTCTCTTGAAATCCATTTGGAACAGTAATGCAAATTGTAGTTGTCATGAAAATATTAAACAAAAGCAAACTTTGAATAGCTCAGCCTGTTTTCCATTTTTGTGAAACAACTTTATTTACTGGCCATTTCTATGGCCTCACATCTCTGTCACAGGAATAAAAAACAATCACTATTGATTGGAGTCAAAAGGGTAATAATGTCACAAGGAACATGTCAAAACAGTCTGTGTGTGACATCAGTCTTGCCAACTTGCTTCTTCCCACAATCCTACCCCAAAGGAAGTCATCACATCTTAAAATAGTCAAAAACAAGGCTGGAAAATGACAGCAAGGGCTTGAGAAATTCACACACTCGGATCTACAGCTGGCATCCAAAAAAAAAAACAGATCGCCTTCCCTTCCACAGCTGAAACACTTTTTGCTACTACAGCCAGCTCCACTGGTCCAGCGGGGATACAGAGGCCACAGCATCACCACCTGACAAAGGCTGAATTCTCTTTTGAGTCATCTGTGTGCTTTTCTCCACTGACAGTGTTAAAAGAGTGCCATTTATCATTAAGATTTCTCTAAGGGCCCCATCCATATATACCAAGTGCAAAGTCTGCTACTTTTCAGATGAATAAAAATCTATACAAATTATGTAGTTTTCAACACACTTCCAAGTTTGGCCAGAGCTATCAATGTTGTAATTTCTTATCCCCAACCTTGCAATCTCTACCACATACTCAACACCACTTGCATGCCGAAAGGAAGGGAAGCTAAGAGAGGACTATAGAATAAAAATTCAGAAAAATGAACAGCTGTTTTAGAGTAAAGGAAAGAGAGAAATACTTTGGCATAATTTTTCCAAGAGGACACCTCAGTTTTTCTGAAATCCAAGTTAAAGATAAATAACCTGCATTCAACCATTACCACTTCATGGCCATTACACTACATTACCAGACTCTACCAGATTACACTGTTGAAATGTAAAAAGGAAGTTTGTATTTTAACTTGAGTAGTAACTGTTAATCTGACTCTACAAAAGCTTTCCAGAAAGCTCTAATAAGCACAATGCCTGTGTTTCCTAGACGCTAATTGTGCTGAGGCAGTTTGTTCACAGGGACAGGGTGTTAAACTGAAGAATTATCGTACTACACAAACTAATTTCTGATCAAATCTAAACAAGGATTTGCTCATTTTTCATTTTTAAGTTATCTCATAGCGTCTAAAAAACTACGCTGTCCCAATCCAAAATAAGTGTCCAACATAAATTTAACCAGTTTTTAAGTTTAAAACAGTATTAATATGAAGTTAAAGGCCACAGTTTCACAAGAACAGAGCAAACCTCCAAAATATGACTTACCTGAGATAACTAAAAGGTAATAGAACATACCGATAGAAAGCACAGGTGAATTTTTATACAGTAAATCAAACTTAGATACCCACAACTAGTATATTAATTAACTTAAATTCAAGACTATCAGTTACTTACTGATATGATTATCTGCTTCACAAGCTTAGTATCATCAATACAATCAAATGCCGCCAATAAAACCAAATGAGAGTATTGGCCCTGTAAGAATTATAAACCAGAAAAGATCAAAAACATATCAATTTCCCCTCTTATCCCACCCACAGAGCCCCCCCACACACACACACACCACACAAAGTTATCGACACACTGACAACTTGTCCAACATAATGCAAACAAGATGAATGCCATTCAAAAGAACTTCCTTTCTTATGAAGACCAAGTTAATCAGAGTTTAGAGATAAGACTGATTTAAAAAGAAGAAAGAAGCAGAAAAACACATTACTAAATACCCAAGACTAAGTAGGATATAATACCTGCTTAAATAAGTACCCTGTTAATGAATAGCTACTGAAAATCAAACTTAAGAAAATTTAAGTGACTAGATTAAGGAGGAGAAACTTAATATATAGAGAGGGAATATTCAAACACAAAAAAAGAAACAAACTTAGATATAATTATACATACACACAATGTTCATAATACATTTACACAGAAAATTCTGGAAGGCAAAACACTGTAATATAATAGTCATCTCTGGATTAAATGGTTATACATTATTTTTTATCATATACTGTCCAAATGAATTTATTGTATCTTGTCCAATTTCCTTAAAGTGATCCTACATAATTAAAATGTAAATAGTGAAAAAACAAACTAGAAAAGTACAGTATAGGGGCTGGGGATTTAGCTCAAGTGGTTTCGCCACCTGCTGCGCAAGCGCAAGGACCCGAGTTCGATCTCTGGTACCAAAAAAAGAAAAAAGAAAAGTACAGTGTAATTATATAATGAATATGAAAATAACATAAATTATAGAAGAGCTTATACATACACTGTGGCTTTCACAACAGTCACTTCTTGAAATACAATCATTTCTGTGATGCTGAACTTTGTATATTAAGACCAACAAACAACTAAATATATGAAGAGTCAGTTCTCAGAAATGAGAAGTACAAATGACTTTAAATGAAATAATTAAGGACAATAATATGTAATTAAGACACTAAAATAACATTTTCCACTTATCCTAAAAACAACTGTGAAAATGTCTGATATCAGATGAGTAACAGAAGGTTGGGGGCTAGCAGGCACACTTTTATGTTGGTGAGAATGTAAAGCGGTCTAACTTCTTGGGAGAGCAATTGACAACATCTATAAAAATTTAAAATGCAAATATGCTTTGATTCAGAAGTTTTAATTACATGACTACACTGCAAATTTATTCTAAGAAAAAAGATACAAATTTGTTGTATTTTTGATACTAAGAAAAATTAGTATCCAGTTTCTAAACTACAATTGAACATTATTTACCTAGAATCTAACATACACATCTTAACCAGGCCAGTAATTCCCATGTTTAATCAATATGGTTAGACAAATTGATAAACTAATAAATAACAGGTCTTCCAAAAATATCTACTTAAATGGAAAATTGGCACAAAATGTAATATTAAATTGATAGAGACAGAGAGAGAGAGAGAGAGAGAGAGAGAGAGAGTAAGAATGAACACGCCAGGGGATAGGGATGTAGCTCAGTGGCAGAACACTTGCCTAGCATGTGTGAGGTCCTGGGTTTGATTCCAACCCATGCAAGAAATAAAAAAAAGAAAAAAAGAAAAAAGAGACAGAAAGAAAAGAATACATGTGGTATGAACCACATAAAAGATATATGCATTAAAAAAACTGCAATAAAATAATTTTCTTTTTGATAATTTTCTGAATTTTTCAATTTTCTGTGACAGACATGAATTCTATTTACTACTAAAAATAATTAAAAGAGGCCCAGGCTGGGGATTTAGCTCAGTGGCACCGCACCTGCCTCGCAAGTGCAAGGTCCTGAGTTTGATCGCAGGTACTGCAAAAAATAAAATAAAAGAAATATGTACTTTCACTCTACTTACATTAGCCACTTTTTCAACGTAAGTCTTCATTGTTTTCACAATTACTTTTCTGTCCTTAAAAAGGAAATATTGCCTCAATGAACTTTTATAGATTAAAACTATTTCAGCTTAAAAATTTATATATCAAATTTTTATTCAAGAATCAATACTTTTCATCAGTGAAAATTATGCAACCAGAATGAAAAAATTGCAATATACTATGTCCGCACAGAGCTACAGTATTAAAATCTTAAGACTTGTATGTGACAATCCTTTAGACCTTTTAAATATGGAACCATTAAATTATAAGCTGCAAGGCAAACCTAATGAAATCACCTTTTACAATGACACTTGAGATCCTTGTTCCAATGTCTGAAACGTCTTGAAATGCATAAACGGTCAGGCATAGAGATATTATTCAATATGTATTTGTTGAATAAAATTAAATTTGCATTCATGAAATGGAACATGTATACAACTATATTTTAAAGACAGAATTATAGCGACCAAGGAAATAATAATCATTTCTGTTGAAATTTTGTGGTTGATAAGAGACCTTTACCCTTTTTCTCAGAGTACTTAACACTCACAGGAGTGTATATGTAGCTAACTGCTCATTTTCTCTTCCTTCCTCCCCTTGCCTTAATATGATCAGTCATTGAGGAAGGCGTGAAAGAGCCTAGAGGCACGAAATCATGGTAAACAAAACATCAAGACTGAGTTTACTTGCTTGATGGATCCCTTCCCATCCTTCAGTGAAACCTCCAGGCTGCTACTAAAGCAGAGAGGTAACAGTAGGCCTCAAGAATATGGTGATCCTGTAAGGCCTGAGATACAACAGTAAGAAAATAATGCTATCTATGCACCACCTCCACTGAGGAAAGCCCAAACAGGGCTAAAAGGCTAAGGACAGACAAATCCAGCCTGCAGGTAAGGCACAGCCCTCACTGGCACACTACGTATTTACACCCAAGTGCTGGCACACTTACCTTGGGCGTGCCATGCCACAAGCAGTGCATGGCCACTCTGGCTCCATCATGTGTGTGTGCCAGGTACACCACCGCCTCACGGATGGCTTCAATCAATTCCTAGGGAACAAAGGCTGTCAGAGAATTGTTTCATTTTTTTCCTTTTCTTTTTGTTGTTTTATCTGTCTATAGGAGAAGGGTGAGACACAGGGAATGAAGGCAAGAGAGCAAAGGTAGCAAATAAATTAATTCTTAATTCTGCAGAGAGTCTCTATCTATAAACTTTTTCATCAAAAGCAGCAGTCTCTTTTGAAAATGCCCCAAGTGCCAGGAAAGATAAACTTGTCTCATTAATTTACATTTGGTTACAAATGACTTGCTGTTACTAAAAGATGTTTAACACTAAAAGGATAAATGTGTGCCATCATTGAATATATTCAAATAATCACTTTGTCAGAACACAGAGTCTTCCCTCAGAAAATCCAGAACTACAAGGTACTGTCTTCTGCAGGAAATGGAGAGAAATCTCCAAAAGATGAGACACTGCTATGGTCATTGTACAAAAAGCTTAAATGAGTAGCTACCACTGAGAAATTATTTTGGATGCTAATTTTGACAGTCAAAATTCCTATGAAGGTATAATCTGGCATTTTTTTTTAGAAAAAGTTGGATTCATTATTTCAGTTATCCCTTGTGATGAGAAAGTGAGGACAAATGGACAATGAGCTCAATGTATGATGAAGCCGGCGAAGTTCAGGCTAAACAATGAATTCTCATTTGTATTCCCATCACTGACTTAAAGGGCAAGCAATTTCCCTTCGCTCTGCTCCTCCTTCTTCAGTCATGTAAGGCCCAGGTTTTCCGGGGTCATTTAGTTTTACATCAAGTATCCTCTAACCTTGTAATGTCAGCATGAGTTTTCTTTTTTTGTATAAGCACAGTTAATTTAAAACTACCGAAATGCTATTCTTCAAATGTTAGTTAACTTTCAGATTAAGTTACGTAGGGGACATTCTGTTTATAATTAAAATATAAAGAGTCAATGGCATTAATAAAACTAGAATCAATTGTTTTTTTCTGGAAAACAATGAAGTGGGATTAGCAGACTTATTCATTGAAGTTTAATGCTTTATTATAAATAAAGAAGCAACTCTAAAATTTCCAAGACTACATACATCAAACCAGTGTTTCAAATTTCTAGATGGCTTTTCCTCTACTCTCAGGTTAAAAACAAAAACCAAGAACTTACTGATCTGAGTTTTGGTGTTGCATAGGTAAAAAAATCCAAGAATACTTTATGGACTAATGAGTGCTTAATCACAGCTTCCCTAAAACAAACAAACAAAAAAAGGCAAACAAATGAGACCTAGCAAAATAATCATACAGACTTACGTAACCTTGGTTGTCCTAAAATGATCTTACAAAAGTGGTTTTACTAAATATAATTTGTCATAAGATTGATTGTATCTTTCAGCAATACTAAGATTTGTTTTTAAAACGTTTAAACATTTAAAATTGATTTAGTGTCACTCACAACCAAGACCATCACAATTCCTAGTATTTAATCAGCAGAGACAAAATCATCATTCAAAATATATGCTACCTTCTTGTATTAGTACAACTGTATTTTCCTTCCAGTACTGAAGACGTGATTAGAAATCCACATGTAGACCTATTTTTTAATATGTTTTCATTCTGTCAAGCATTCTTCAAAATGTGTTTCATGAAATAATTTTAGCAGAAATAAAACAGCGTAAACAATAGCAACACCCTCCACTTGATCTATACTCCCAGAACAACACTTGGTGAATTCAGGTGTACACTGGAGGCTGATGTTTAGGCACCGAAGATGTAAAGTTCACATCAAGCATCCAAGTAGACAGCAGACACAAGCGCTGCCTTTATGGAAAGCACGTTCTTGAAATAATGTTCCATTTAGTCTTCATAACTCTAGAAATATGCACTATCATCCTAATTTTATAGACATGGAAATGGAGACACAGAGATGTATAGTTTCCAAGGTCACACAGTTCCTATACGTGTGTTGGGGGCAGTCCAGTTCAGAAGCTCCCGCCTCTCCAAAGCGGTATGGCACCAATGCCTAGAAGGCCAAAGGCATAGGCTTCTAATTCTTACAATGCAATTCAAGGAACAGATTACATTTGTGAAACTATTTAACAAAGAACAATTCAATATAACACATTATTTGGGAAAAAAATATTTCAGTCCTTAAAGAAAGTTTACAAACTTTTATTACATGCTATCCTTTTACCAGTTATGTTAACAAAACAAGAGATCTCTTTTTGCACCAAGAATGGTTTCAAACCAAAGTTTTTATACTCTTATTTAAAAAAAGATTAATAATACTAAGGAGGAATTAGCTAGCTTTTCTGGGCAAGGGTTATGTTGAACTTTCTTCCTTCAAATAATATCTTACTTTTGAGCCATTGGAGTTAAAATCTGTTTCATTTCATCCATAATAAGCTCCAATTTTTCTGGCTGTACCTCTAACACTTTGTCCAGAGTTGGGTGTTCTGCAGACTGCAACAAAAGAAAAAAATCAAATTTCTCTAAATTTAACTAATTTATTCACTTGAGAACAAAGAAAAGCAACTACAATCACTTTAAAAAACTTAAAATAAATGTAAGATGTCCCATATTTATATAACTCATGCTCTGCTGTATTTATACTCATCAATTAATTCTGATTATCTTCCATTCCTTTGCATGTCTACCAGTGTACAATCATCCTCTGCTATCCATGGAGCATTGGTCCTAAGACCCCGCATCCAGGGGTGCTCAAGTCCCTTACATAAAATGGCAGAGTATTTACATACAACCCATACACATCCTCCCATATACTTAAATCATCTCTACTTACAACACCTAACACAATGTAAATATTGCCATATTTTATTGTTTAGGAATGATGAGAAAAAAATCTATACATGTTCAGTACAGATGCAATGTTCTCAAATATTTTCAATGTGGAGTCGATTTGTGAGATGTGGAACCCATGGATATAGAGGGTCAACTACATATAAAGAGCCAGACTAAAAAAATCAACAAAGTCAACCAGGCCCTGAAAGGTACTTGCCAAGCACCTAGCATGTGCTCAACCATAAGATCAAGTAGTCAGTTCACAAATCCTGGCTACCTTGTGTTTTGTAATTAGCTGGATATTCCTAATGTAGAACTGTTACAAAAGAAAAACAGCAACAAGTTCAACTCAGGAACTGAACCTGGCTAATGGAAGCAACCTAGGAATCAGTCCATATCCCCTCAGATAAATAAGCATATTTATGTCCTCCAGTTGAACTAGATCCTCTTACAGTTCCAGTCCCATTAATGGTCTTTCTCAGATTCAAGGCCGGTACTCTATCCAACGAGGGATCTCTCTAGTTTCCTTCCTCTCCAAGTACAATCTGCAGAAGGGTAATAGCCATGAAAAAAAGACAGAAGGGAGCAGCAGGGACCCCCAATGGGCTTCAGTCTGAGGTGGCTCCATATCAGGCACACAGCTGTACAAACTATCAAGAATCTTTTACCTTAGTCTAACTAACTATAGAAGGAATAAGAAAAGTAGTCTGATGTGAAGGGGGTTTAAAGTTAACACTCTGGAAGAAAGAGAAAATAACTGTAATCTCTTGTTCACTGTATCAGACATGACAAACAACAACAACAACAACAAAAACAAACAACTGGAAATGTCACCTTGTAAAGCTGAAATGTGTTCCCATAGAGCTCCTCAGTCAGCATGTTCCTCTGCTCCAAAATGGCTTTGTCGTTATACGCGTACTCCACAATGGCCGAAGCCTCTGCGTGCCGCAGCATCTTCTTCACATGGCCTTTAAAACTTTTGATTATCTCTGCAATCTGTGGTTTACTTCTAAACTCAACACAGTCATGGGAAAAATAAAGGATAGCAAGCTGGGTGACAATATATCGTAATTTACTCCTCCTGAGACCAATTCATCAAATGTGTGTCCACGTGTGGAGCCTCCTACAGAGAAAAGCTAATGAGTAGGACAATCACATCACCTGGCATGTCTATTTTACGCTTAAGTGACCCAGGTGGCCAGCCATCCTAGGTTTGAAATCTGGCTCAGAAGATCCGAAGCAAGTTCTTTAACCGATCTATGCTTCACTCTTCATTTACATAATAGGAATTAAGGTTGTTTTGAGGATTAAATAAGCTCAGATGTATCAGGAACTGAGACCAGCACACAGAAAGTGCCCATGTCAGTTCCTATGCAACTGTTTAGCTCAAAAGAAAGGAGAGTAAAGGAAAAGACAGTAAAAGTCAAGGAGGCAGGGAAATATGAATGAAATGTATTTTGAACTAATTACAAATTATCTTTCTTCTTCCACAACTTCAAAATATAAATATAAAAAAAATATAAAAATAGGCCCTTAACAATGGTAAAGGCAGTATCTTTTATATTATTGTTATAATTTGACATTAATTTACATAATTTTACATTAATTTCAATAATTGTTTTCAAGGTGATATGCCCTAGAAATATCAAAAGCATTTGTGGTGGGCTATTACCAAGACCACAGACCTTTATTTCTGTGTATGTACGCGTGTGGTGCATACATACTGGGGACTGGAGCTGGCCAAGTGCTCTCATGCTGACCTATAGCCTAGCTTTTTTATTCTGAGAAAAGTCTGGCCAAGTTGCCCACGCTGGCCTTGTGATCTTCCTGCTCCCGACTCACGAGCTGCTGGAATTACAGGTGTGCACCATCATGCCCAGCTTATCACAGACTTTTTAAGTAACACCCGAACACAGCTGAAATCCAGAAATTGAAAAACTAAGGCAAAATATATTTTATAAATAATACAACTTACCCATACATGAGAAATTTCTTAACAATATTTCTGGAATACTTGGCTTTACTTAATTCAACCAAATCATCTGAAAAACAAAATGTATTACAATGATTTGCTATCTTCATTGCAGTTCTCCAGAAGGAAACAATGGAAGCTAAAAAAGTACAATTCTAGGAACACAAATAACTTTTTCCAGGTAAAGAACAAATGAAAAAAAGAGTCCTACAAAGGATAATACAGAATTATTTTGTAGGGCAGTTTTGGGTATTCCAAGAGAAAAGAAGTGACTCATTACAAATAACAGTCTTCAATGTAGAACAAATACCTCGCAATTCTTCAAAAGCCTGTTTTCTCTGTTCTTCATTACCATACTGAATATAACACTGGATCACTCGAGTTGAATCATGTGCAAATGCAATCTGTAGGAAAAACAATTTGAGCCTTGAGACTAGTTCTCTCTGAAGATTCACCTTTCTCATATTATTTGTTTTGTTTTTTGTTTTGTTTTGTTTTGTTTTTTTTGGTACCGTGGATTGAACTCAGGACCTTGTGCTTACCAGGCAGGCACTACGCCGCTGAGCTAAATCCCTAGCCCTCTTATTATTTGCTACTTCCTTTTAAATTCCTTGTTAGGAAGAAAGTAATGTATTCATAGACAAAATCACACCTAGATTACTTGGGAGTAGAAATACCTATTTAATTATATAAAAGATCATTCTTTGGTTTCGCTGCCGCTCACACTTGATATATATAGTTAATAATAAAACAGGCAGAGGCAGATTTAACCATTTTGCAATATTCCTATCATTATAATTAAAACTAAACCAAACCAAAATTGTATAAGGATGTGCACTATAGTACTCATTTTTCCGAAAGTTACCTTTCCTAAAAAGGGAATATCCCCAGTTTTTAAGTCTATTACTCTATGATTTTTATGTAAATCATCTATGAATCTTTGGGTATGGGAACCAAAGGTAAAGATCCAACATAAATCAATCTAAAAGTCTTGCTGCCTAAACAAATATAACTATATACATCCAAATTGGCAATTACATTACAAATTAATCACATTTCTCACATTTTCATTATAATCCCTGCACACATATATGTATAAAGAAAAGGTGTTGTATTTCAAATCTGACTCTGATCCATTCCCTCTCACAGATCTTCACCGAGGGACTCACTGATCAATTTTCTACAGTAGGCATACCCAACCTGCAGCCTTTCTTTTCTGAATGAAGATGAATTGTGTTGGTCTACATAGAATATAGATTATTTTAGTTAATATATAAAGGTAATAAAAGTTCACGTAATTTTTCAGAATAACACTAAAAAGAGGGCAAAAAAATTTCAAAGACCACAGGTTGGACACACCTGTTCAACAGCAATGTCCACAAACCACCAGTCATGCAACATTGTTTTTACTACGCTACACTAGCAGTAGGCTTCAAATCTGTTTGTTGTTATTTTGTCTTTCATACTTTTTAATCCCAAAAAGTTAGGAAGTGAAGTTATACCTCCAAAGTCATAGATTTCTGATTTTAAGTGCAAATTTTAGTCATATTTTATAAACATTTATAAAATGTAAGGCTATTTATGATATATATTACACAATCTACTGTATGACCAATGTTCATGTTTCAAAAATTGTCTTCTTATTTACATCTCAAATCAACTCTAAAGAACGATTTGTTGTTCCCACTTTACAGATGAAAAAATAAGGTTACAAGAAGTTAATAAAGTTGCTACCAGTGACTGAGGAATAAATTTCCAAATGTACAAAAAAGGATGTCTCATATCTTAATGGCACCACTCTGCCACAGTAAGTAACCCATATAGGCTATCTAAAGGCACACAGGGTGTAATCAGCAGAGCAGGAATTGTAACACCAAATTCCCAAGTCCACTGTCATGTGCAAGGACTCAAGGAGAAGTGACAAAAGATTTTAAGTGCAAAATATTTATAAACTGAACATAACAGATTATTGCTAGGGCTGAAGGGCTTCTAACCCTAAGAGTTTGCTGAATTTATAAGAAACAAACAGCTGAAGACTATTTCAAGAAGTTCCTTCAAACTATAATCCAGCATCCGGTTAGACTGATGCACATAGTTTGCCAAAGACCGCTCCCCTATAGTCCCTAAAACAACTGGAATCTGTTACAAGAAAACATTCACCATGTATTCATCCAAATACACAAGAAAGAGCCAATGGAAGTTAATTACAGGACAGGATTAAAATTCTCAAATCTACTGTATTTTAAAAAGCTTTCCATTATATTTGTAAAAAAAAGAACAAAAGAGGTAGTATCTTTATCACACATACAGAGAAGCTGACAATTTAGAACATACTAAATTATAGAGTTCAGAACAAGAAATTCAAACAAATACAACTGAACTAATAAATTTCTCAAGATAACCTTTAGGAAAATACTAACTTATTTAAAATTATTTAGAAATGACAAGAGTCAACCTGTCAGTTTACAACTCCCCAACAGTAAAGTCCCACAATATAGGGTGAACATTCCAAAAGCGAAAATCCAAAATGCTCCAAAATTCAAAACTTTTTGAAGGCCAACACGATGCCACAAGTGGAAGACTCCACACCTGACCTCATGTGACAGAAAATGAGATGCAGTTAAAATGCAGGCAAAGCACACTGGGGCTGGGAGTGTAGCTCAGTGGTATAGCTGCACACATGAGGTCCTGGGTTTGATCCTCAGCACACAAAAAAACAGAACAGAAATGCAGGCACTTTAAAATATTATATAAAATTACCATGAGGCTACATGTATAAGGTGTCTATGAAACACAAATGCATTTTGAGTTTAAACTTGGGCCCCATTCCCCAGATAGCTGAAAAAAAGCAAGTATCTCCAAATCTGAAAAGCCCAAAACACTTCTGGTCCCAAGCATTTCAGATCAGGACTATAAACTATTAAATCAGTGTTATAAAAGACACTTGAAACTTTGGGCCATGTACACTGGAATCAATGACAAGTTCCCTTGCCATGCACGGTCAACTGTCTTTCCCTAAGAGTGAGGCAACTTCAACTACTCAAAACTGCAAAGGTGAATAGGCTTGCTCTACTTACAGTTTTAATTTTCCCTTGAATCAGCTTCTGCAAGTCACTCATCAACTTCACTCGTTTTTCTTTGTCACAATCTTTTCTACATATGAGAAGTGGGAGGGAACACAATTTAAGTAAAGAAGTTATTTTAAACATATGAAACTAAACACTGTACCAATATACGTTCACTGAGTTCAGCATAATTTTTTTTCGAAGGCGGCAAACCTCTGACATTAAAATTACTATTCCACTGCAGTCAGACAAAAGTAATTTTCTCAGAGGCAGAAACCCATCTCAGAAGGTATAATTTTATGCATCAATCTAAATCTTAACAGCCAGAACATCAGAGGGAAAGAAAATAATAAAGTCTAAGATACCAAATACTTAAGTACCTCAAAAATCTATCAGAAAAAAAAAAAATCTATCAGAGATGAAATTGTCCTTCATTTTCTCAGAAATCTCTCAAGAAGGATGTCAAATGCATTTTGACTCTCCTACATTTCCATAAATAGATATGTCACTATCCTAATGTGATTCCACACATTTCAGCAATGGGCAGACATCTACACACTGACACTTCTATTGGGGGTCTAGGAGCACTCCCCAAGAATCCAGGTGCTATGTCATTTGTTTCAGCATATCTTTCTATTGACAAGGTGCGCTGTTACTTCTCTACTGTCTCAAAGGGACTAATACAGATACCATTAGGTAGCATTACCTTCTTAAGATCTCCCAAATCTGTTTTGCTCGAACAACAATGTCATAGTTGGTTTTGTCACTGAGCTGTCTGCTCTGCTTTAGTTCTTTCTTCTTCTTTTTGAAGTCATCCCATTTAGGTTTCTTGGATGCTGATTCTAGTTATTATAGAAATTAGTTTCAAAAACATTAATATTCTGAGTGCTATAAACAAATACTACAAATTAAGTAAAAAGGGCAATCACTAATCAGGACCAGTGCTCATGGAAGCTAAAAGGGGAAAACATCTTTTATAAACTTACACTTCGTTGCATTTTTCTGAGCAGTCTGCACATTTTAAATTTGGTTAAAACCAATCATTAATTTAGAAGCTTTTCAATGACTCTTAACAGAATATTGAGCAAGACAAAAAAGATTGGGGAAACAAAGGCATGGGGCTGAAGAGGCAACACAACCACAGAGGCAGAGTTGGGATCCAAACCCTGAGGCAACTTCTGTTGCCTTTTACTCATGACAGTGCACAATCAAAATTTCTTTCCATGTATTACTATTTTTTATCTTTGAAATCTGAGTATCTTACCAATTGGACCAAAAAACTTAATGAGGCCAAAGAACAATTTAATAAAATGGATATTGTTTAGTAAGTATTCTACCAAAGATCTTTGGAAATTAGTTATTTCTAAGTATTTTCCCTTTTTTGATTATAAAATATATTCATTTAAAAAATTTGGAAAATGCAAAAAAAAAAAAAAAAATTCCCCTTACTATTAAAACCTAGGTATAACCACTGATTATTTTCTTGCCTTTTCCCCCATACAGATTCAATACTAATTTTTAAAAATTAAGAACCTTACTATCTTCACTTAACAGCATTTTCAAACGAAACAAAGTATTCCTCGAGAGTATGATTTTCAATGGCTATACACATCATGGTAGAGTACAGTGTATTTACTTACTCCCCTCATTTTTGCTTATTTCCTGCTTGGTAGTACAGAGGAATATAGGCAGCAGAGGGGATTCTTACTACACCAATAGTAGAGTGTCACATACTACACAGCAGAGAATAGATTGATCCAGAGCTAATTTAATTCCACAAATACTTGGGCAGCCTTGATATATATCATGCTGGATTGCAGTAGATGTATCAATTTTTGAGATGTCTAGTAGCAATCTCTGTTATTCATAAGAGAATAAAAGCAAGAGCTCCAGTTAAAGACATCAGAAGTAACTCCCATAACAAAGGAACCAGGGCCATAGTGCAATAGGACCTTAATGTTAGAATGAATGTATGTATTTCACATGCTGGTGTCAAAAACTCCAGCAGGCAAAAGAAGATGTAGGAGCTAAGACAGGATAGGATAAAGAAGAGAAAAAGCAGCTGAAAGAGAAATTACTGGAGATGGGAAAGATGAAGAGAAAAGGAAAAATAAGACAGAGGAGGAGATGGAGTGGAAAAGGATGCTGCAGGTCTAATGGGAAACAATAAAAGGGGTGCTGTCCCTCTAGTGAGCAGCCTTGAGCCACAGTGAAGAACCAGGTCCTGTGCTCAGGCACAAGACACAGAAAGCTGCATGGCTGTGGCCTCAGCTGGCAGCAAAGCTCAGTACTAGAGAAAGAGAAAAAAGATACCAGACAAATCCTCATGATGAAAGAGAGGTATATGTGTTTCAGCACATTCAACCTCAAAATTGCTCATGTGAAACAAGCAAGAGATTTGGATCCTTTGAACATTGTGATTAAGAGATTGGTAGCTTGTTTCAACGACAAACACCTTGTCAGCTCTTCCAACTGGTGAGCAACTTGTCTTGAAGCAATTAAATCCAAATCTGTCATGTGTGCGGTACATCTTCTCCCAAACCACCAGTGGGTCAGAGCTATCTAATGGGTTGATTACATCACACTGGTCTAATCTCTGTGAAGGCAGTCTGTAAACCTCTTGTCTATTAAGGGATCTTTCATCTAAAGGACACACTGGTTTTTTAAGGCCAGATTCTATGATTAGATGATATATATGCTCCATATCCTAGTACAATGAACAAAATACTCAAACATCTGTTCAATGAATGAATCCATGAATTAAATTCTAGCCTACAGAAAGGAATGTTTTATTGAGGCTCTGTCATAAAAAGCCATTATAATTTAGCTGAACGATAGCAATTGGTCAAAAGACTCTAAGCACTGGAGAGAAATCTTGACAAGGAAAGATGCTCTACTGATGAAGCCCCACTGCTGTTCCCTGCTATAATCCAAACACACCTCCCACCAAGGAGCAGGCGGGAGGTCCCTAGTGCATGGCCACAGCCCTGTGCACAATGTTTCCACCACTCACTCAAGCAGGGAAAGGTCTCTGCAAAGACCTGCTAGGAATCAAGTCAGTGCTCACCATCACTTTTACTGTCTGGGTGGAATTTTCTCTTCTTGTTGAATTTATTTGCCTGCTGGAATTTGTTCTTCAGTCCTTTGTCCCCTTGTTGCTTATTCTTGAACTGTTTCACACCCCTTTTCCCAGGTTTCATGGCACTTTTCTCAAACTTCTTAGATGGAACTTTAGGTCCTCCCTCCTTAACTTTCTTGGGGAACGTCTTTGAAAAACTAGAATCTAATGACAATAAATAATTATTAGTTTGATGGTTTTGGGGCCTAGATCTCTTTTACCTACTAGAATCTATCTGTTACAGAGAATTAAGACATTCTTTAGTGGGAGATACTTAATCTTACTTTCAAATATACATTTACCTAAAAAAACTTCTCACATGTAAAATAAATATAGATTCATGATACAAAACTTAGAATGTAGAGTAATGGATGATAAAAGCTACCTAGAATTCTACCACCTAGATAACAAATATGGTCGGTTTAGTGTATTTCTGTATTTTTAAGCATACAGTAGAGATGACCTATTACTGCACAGCATTTGCATACGTTTCTATTTTCATCATTATCATTAGTCTTTATATATAATTTTCAATGGTTCAGTAACATCATGAATCTCGGAATAAAATGAACACTCTCAATTAAAAATGTTAATTTCTCAAAATTTCTAGTTTTCAGAAAAAATGTTAAAGCTCATATTTATTTGATAAAAATCTTTGGTCAACAAAGCTTACAACATAAGTATCTAACAAATGAAATGCAAACAGTAACACAGAGGCCTTAACACTATTATAAAGAACAAAAAATACATTCCTTAGGAAACAGTTATTTATACAGTCTTTAACTTTTCTACTTCGCAATACTGACACCTGATGGAATAATAAAGATATCATGACTCAAAAATCACAAAGCAAAAAGTGTTCAATTTATCAGTAGTATGTATTAACCAATCCTAATTCATTAAACATAAATAAAACATATAATGAATGAGTATGAATAAAATTAGGCAAACAGATTAACATCTGAGCTAAGGGATCTTGAACAAGCAGAGAATTCCTTCACTCCTCAATTATTCTGGCCATTTAACTCCCTTTCCTTTTCTTTTCCTTCCTTTCTTTCTACATCTGCAGCCCTTTTTATTTTATTTTGAGACAAAGTCTCACTAAATTACCCAGACTGGCCTTGTCATCCTCTTAGATGTTTAACTCATAAACAGTAACACCTCTTTCTTCCTACCGTTTTGTTTTGTTTGTACCAGGGATTGAACTCTGGACTTTGCACGAGGCAGGCTGGGCTGCGGAACCACTGAGCTAAATCCCCAGCCCCTTCCTACCTTTTAATGCTATTTTAGCCCTTGAATGCAGATTGGAATCTCTGAGTATCACTCCACCCCTCAGTTATAATGGTGAAAACAACCATGTGGGAAGCATGTTTTTGTATGCGGATCTTACCTCTGTTTTTCTGAAAGTTGTTTTTTTCTTGTGACACCTTTGTACTCCTTCCTGTGAACTTTTTTTTCCCTTTGACTTCCATCACAGCAACTATGGAAAACAAAAAACAAATCAAAAAGCATCACTGAATTGTTCCTCATCAAACAAGAGTCTTGCCACATTTAGTCCTTGAGTTCAGTGCAGGATACAGGACCTGTGTACAATATGGCAATGATGCAATCACTGCTCCATGACTCTAAAACTGGAGATGAAAAAAGGCATCAATACAAAAATAAGAACACGCACATGGCCGGGCTAGCATGTGATACATCAGGAGGCAACACTTGAGCAATGGTACTGGCTAAAACCAACCACCAATAAGTACAGGCACCCACAGTCTTATTTCGTAACCTAAGAAGATGTGGTGATGAGTAACTGACAATACTACCATTTGATTTCTAGGTCTCTATCCTAAAAAGCCAGGAACAAATAAGAGGCTATACTAACATACATTCAAATTCAATGAAACAAAGTAAAGGATTATCTGAAAGATCCCTATGAAACCCAATGTAACTAAAAAAGGTACTGTCCAATGTTTAATCTGCGTTTAAGAAGCAGCCAAGTAACTTGCAGTGAAATCCAAAATAAATCATGTTCTAATATTTAATATTTTATTACAAAAATCTGCCTAAAAGGTCATTTGTAGTGCAGAGAGACCCCATAGCGCACAGGACAAACATGAGATAACCCCTCTCCTATCCAAGGCCCTTGTAAAATGCAAGATGGACTCAAGGGCAAAAATCCTCCCTCATTATTTTTTTCAGGCTCCAAACTTAGAGAAAAAAAAAAAACTCCACAAATAGAATTCTTATCCATCCTTCAAATCCAGCTTAAATGACATTTTCTTACCATTTCCCTTCCATATGTCTTCCCTCTTTCCCACGTTATTCTCTTTTTTATTCCAATGGCACACTTTTAATGGACTTTTCAAAATTTAACACTTTGGGCTTAAGATTATCCGTGGATGGTTCTGTAATGCGCTATCAAAATTTATTGAATACATATAGATCATGTGCCAGACAGCTACTAGACTGAAAAAAATAGAAAAAATCTAAGATATGGTCTAAGCAAAATCTTAAAACAGTAAAATTAAGTGTTATAAAAGAAATATATACAAAGTGTTAAGGGAGCTGGCTGAGAACTCAGTTCTACCTTACGAAGGGAAATATCAAAGGCTTCCCACAGATGGAGGAACATACAGTATAGTCAAAATATACAATGAACGTTTAAATTCTTAAAAATGTATTACAATAAAAGACATATTGCTGTTAATCCCCCTCAAGATACTTCCCCTCACCCCAAACACACTTATCCCATCACTCTTGCCATGTCCTGAAGCAGTTCTGGAAGTCCTCTTTCATGTCTTTATGAGGCATGATCAAAAAATATGGTGAATGCTGCTGCTGCATGCCATCCAACAGAAAGGCAGTCTTGGGAAAACATTATCCTCATCCACCTTATTCGTCAGACTGGGCTGGTTCTTCCTCAAAGTCCAAATGACCGTGAAAAGGAATATTTTTAATGGATACAGGACAATAAGGCAACCACAATAGTGTGAAACTAAAGATACTCACAAAAGAGGTCTTCAGAAAGTGGTAAGAACAATGGGATAAATGTGTCTGAAGTGATGGGGAGTATTTTAAGGGGGATTAGTTGCAATCTGTATTTACTATAGTAAGTTTCTTAAAAAGTTAAGCACTCACTGTATTTTGATCATATGACTGGTCTTCCACTCCCCTCAGCAGGCCTAGCAATGTGACTGGAAAGTAGTGAACACTCAATGTGCAACCTGTTGGCTGTACTCAAGTCTTCTGCCCTAATGAACTTCCCTTCTCTCTACACTTCTCCCTAGGTGATCTCATCTAGTGTCCTGGCTTTCTATGCTGACTCCCAAATTATTTCTCCATTAACTTTCCCCTGGGTTCCAGACCTGTGAATCTCTGATTATACATCTAACAAGCACCTTGCAACTTGTTATGTTCGACATAAGTCTCTTATTTTCCACTGAAAACCACCCTCAAACAATATCCATCTGTTTCCCTACTCAATTCTTCCCCACTTCAGTACAGTGGCACATCATTTAATTCACTGCTCAAGCAAGAAACCTGAATTATTACTCTTGATACTTTCCTCTCTTTTATATGTCCATCAGTATGTTTTCTTAAAATCCCCTTAATAACTTTAACTTTCCAATTTGTCTTCACTACCACCACTCTAATGCAAGCCATCAAGCATCTCTTTACTGAACTTACAAATGAAATACATTTTCTAAAGAGAACCAGGGTCTGTCTTGATCATTCTTTGTTTACAAACCTTTAATGTGTTCTATACCTGAAAATAGCAGTAAAGCTTCCGATTGCATATAAACAACAATATGGCCTCCAAAGTCCTACCAAAACGCTTCCCATCCTTCCCCCAAACTTTACTTTGCTCTGCTGCATTGAGCCCTTATTGCTTCTGTTTAAAGTACTTTTCCCTCGGGGTTCCGATCTCAGGGTTCCCTTCTGTTAGGCTTTGGGTTTCGTTTTACGGATCACTTCCTCTACCCGCACTCCCACCCCATCATCCAATTCAGTACCGGGAGTTCGTTTCTTTCCCAGCGCTCACGACCAGCAACGTTATCTTTGGGATGCAACCTCAGCTCCTTACACTGACTGGATGCAAAGTGGATGTGTCTGTCAAACAAGAGCACAGGCGGACGGCCCCGAACTAGCTCAGATCTGGATCTCAGAGAGAAGCTACTTCAGTCTAACTCAAGACTCCAGGCCAGGTGATCTGAAGAGAAGTCTATCTTTGCTCTCCCCGCCGGGCTTCCGCCAATTTCCAAACTCCCAGCCTACAAAAAAGTCACAGAAGACTACTCAGCGAGAGGAAAGAAACCACAATCCTCGCCACCTCCTCGAGAGACCACCCCGATTCCAACGCCTGGCAGTGATGAACCCTTCTCCGGAGCGATCGCGGAGCGGCTGCACTCACCGTACACGTGGGGCTGAGGCCTACGCCAGTAGCCGATTCTGGACCAGCGCTTCCGCTTCCTCTCCTCGCCCCACCCACAATCCACTTTTTGTATTCTTCCGCCGCGCAACTAGAGTTAAGGGGTGGAGCTTATCAGGAACCACGGAATTCGGCGTTTCTATTGGTCCGCTTCGGTTACAACTCTATGGAGGCCGGAGGGCTGCGCCACACGGATTTTGGCCCTTGAGAGGATCTGTCAGACGTAGGACGCGTCGGTGGCGCCTGAAAGTGACGTTTTTAACCCTTTCCCCCCACCCACCCACCCCCCACCCCGTCCAGGAAGAAAGAGACTTCTGCGAAGGGCTGACCGGTTTTTGGAGGAGAGCTGCGGCTCACAGTTAAAGAGCTGTTCTCTGAATTAGCCTCCTTCATTAGCTTGAAATGTCATGAAAATAACTAATCTGTTTAGAGTATGTTCATTGCATCTTTTCTGAGCAGTGTAGCCTGGAGAGGAAAAGAGCTCATTCGGAACTAGGTTTGAATTGTAGGCATGATTTTTTTTGTTCTCCAGCTGTGTGACTGTAGACAAATTACTTGATTTCTCTGGTGCTTGGTTCTCTGATCAATAAAGTAGAGGTAAATCATACGTGCAAAGTGTTTAGCACAGTAAATAATCGAGAGAAGCTTTGAATAAATGTTTGCCATTTTAAACGTATGCTCCTTCCTGGATACTGCAATTAAACATTTTCCGCTTACGCGGCATAGTTAAGATATTATCCCCATTTTACAGATGAAGAAACTAGCATAAACTTGGTCGTGTCAGACAACAGAATTTTATGCTCGAACACTTCTGGTGGTTAGAAATCTGAAATCAAGCTGTTGTCAGGGCCAGTTATCTTTTGAAAGCGCTAGAGGTGAATCCCTTGCCTCTTCCAACTTCTGGTGTTTCCAGCCAGTGTTTTGCTTGCATGACCCTATTCTGTGCCTCCCTCTTCAGTTGGCCAACCCCTGTGTTTCTGTCTGTGTTAAGAACTTTTGTCGCTGGTGTTAGGGCTCACCAGGATAATCCAGGATGATCTCACTTGAAGGTCCTTAGCTCAACTGAATCTGCAAAGAGTCTTTCCAAATAAAGTTACTTTTGCAGGTTCAAGGGGTCAAGTCATGGACGTATTTTTGGGAGACTGTTCAGCCCACTACATCTGGAGAATTGAAAAAAATGAGACTTGATTTCTTATGGGGGGAACTTAGGATTTTACTATCTTCCATCTTACTCTTCTTGCTGTTGGAAGCATTCAGCTGGAAACTGGTAATACTAGATTGTATGTTTCTTAAGGATAGGAGCCATCTTTACTTCCCAGGTAACTCCCACAACTCAGCACAGAGATGTTTTATAAATACTTGTTGTCTGCCTTAATTGTTACAAGTATTTAAATTTCAGTTCATTGAAATCCCATGAGAACAGATTTGAATTTTTTTTCCCCCTCTCGTTTAAGAAAAAATGGGAAAATACTAGTTTGGTCCAATGGGCCTAACTCTAAAAGCAATATGACTACCTTGGGACTGCTTCCACTAATCCTTTAGTTCTTTGGTGGATGCTAAAGGAAAGAATATGCAACAATAATTTGCAGGAGCCCTATTAACTGCTTATTGGGCAAGTAGTATAGTAGCATGCACATTAGACATCTTGAAACCCCTGACAAATTCTGGCCAAAAATAATAAATCACAAACTACGCCCTACTGCACAATCCCTGGAGGGACGTTTTTCTGTGTTCAGCCCCACAGATAGCAGCACTCCATATTGTGGAAGACATGTCCGAGTAATTGCCTTAAACATAAACTCCAAAAGCTTACTATTCATTTGCCTTTTCAAACAAAAGGCAAAATTATCATACACTATAGCCCTAGACTATCATTCACAATGTTTTTTTAATCAAGTCTTATGTGCTATCAAAGAAGATTGATTCAAGTGTCATTTATTTGGAGTAGAAACTATACAGGAACACCACAAAAGAGGTATATCCTGTAATTTTTCCTTTAACCCAGGAAACTCATTCTTTAGATACTTAATGATCTAAGTGTACAACATGATGCATACTCCTACAAGAATAAGATGCTCTTTTTGAATGAAATAGCATAAAGTTTAGAGTAATTAAGATTAGCAAGCATCCAAGCGGTTTATAACGGTACCATAGCTATCCAATAAAAAAAATGGCATTGGAATCAAATGAATCTGGCTTTAAATCCAAACTTTGTTAGTGATGGTCAACATAGTTAACTTGTATGGACTTCAGTTTCTGCATATATAGAATAAGCACAGTATAGCTTATTTGGGTGAGTTGCTATTTGTTGCAAGAGTAATAATCTCTATGAAGTTCTTAGCTAATAGTAATTTCGTTTGGTACTGAGGATTGAACCCAGGGCCTTCACACTGAACTATTTTTCCAATCCCTTTTCTTTGTCTCTCTAAGTCACTAAGTTGCCCAGACTGGGCCCAAACTTGAACTCCTGCCTCAACCTCCTAGAGTGCTGGGATTATAGGCAAGCACCAATAGTAAATGTTGAGTGATACATGGCTTAGGAAGGAACAAAGGGTATAGCCACTAGAAATTCTTTCAGCTGCAAGTAATGGAAAGTTCACCTAAAAGAGGCTTAAGCCTTAATTTTCTTCACACAACAAAAGTTCTGACAGTAGTTGATTGCTGTATTTCAGCGAGTCTACAATGTTATCAAAGATGCAAGATTTCTATATTCAACCACCTTCCTCAACACGTTGACTTTTCATTCTCGTACTTCTTGCTTTCTGATATATGCTTCAGTTTCGGGATGTAGGAGAGTTCAGGGCTATAGGAACGGGAAAAGGATGAAATTAACTTCCTTCTCTCCAGTTGGGCTCTGTCCTCATCCCAGAAGACTCATCTGGAATCTCATTTCAGTGTAAGAACTGGGTTACATGGCCACATCTAGGACTGAAAGGCTATTAGACAATAGCCTTTAGACATTAACCAGGCATTGCATTTCATTCTTTATTAAACTCTACTGAACTTGAGAGTCATTTCGTAAATGCACTTTCATCCAGCAGTAGAGATTCAACTTGTGATTTAAATGAATCTTGTTTGAAATTTAAAATAACTGTAATATCCAAGATGGTGGATATCAGTTTTGATAAATGTGTTAGCTTTCCACTGCTGTGACAAAATACCTGAGAAAATAAACCTAGAAGAGGGAAGATTTATTTCGACTCAAGGATTTAGAGTTTCAGCCCCTAGATGCTTGGGTGTGTCTATGTAGGTTTCAAGTGAGACTGATCAGCATGGTGGGGAGACAGTGGTAGAGAAAGGCCGCTCACTTCATGGCAGCCCTGGAAGGAGACAGGGGTACAAGAATATGGAGTGGGGAACGAAAAGGGAGAGGAAAGGAGCAAGGGACAAGATGTCCCCTTTCCAGGGGATACCCCAAGTGACCTACTTCCTCCAACTAAGCCCCAGCTCCTACAGTTTCTACCTCCGAGCAATCCATTCAATTAAGAATTTATCAAAAGATTAATCCATGTATGGTATCAGAGCTCTTATCATTCAATTAATTCCCCAAAGCCCACCTCTGAACATCACTTCATTGGGGACCAGCCTTCAAAACTGCCTTCTGAGAAATATTTTAGATCCAAACCACTACAGCAACACATTAGACAGCTGTAGATGTTTTCAATGCAAAGTGTCAGCCCTTCTTATTTAATTGGTCTGGTGTATGACCTGAGAATTGAGAATTTGGAAAGCTCCCCCAACCATGCTAATGCTCAGCTAAAATTAAAAGCCACTTGTTTAAGCAAGGGGGTTACAAGTTGTTGATTTGATTGTCTAATTAACTGGGACTTAAACCTTATGGCCTTGTAGTCCTTCCTTTTATTGCAGTTACCAAAATTAAATAATTGTATGTATAATATACTTGTTCCTATGAGAACGTCTTGGGTTGTATCTTTCTTGTTGATTAAACTCTCCTATTGTGATTAAATTTGAACCATACACTTCCAAATGTATTAAGAAAAATGCTTCATTTTTCAATTCCTTGAGATTTTGTGCAGTTTTCTCTTTTTCATAAATATAAAGTACGTTAGGTGTCAGCTCCCACACATCTCTTCCCCGAATCAGTTCTTTAGAGTTCTAATTAATGTATTTTTAATTAATTGGGGCTGTTTTTCTATTTCCCAAATGCATAAGCAGGGATAAAGGGCATGTTGTTGATATAAAGCATAAATGAGATTTTGGCAAAGGCTGGATTTTATTTTCAGGATCTATTAGAATGATAAATCCATGGAAAGACAGCAGTTGCCAAAAAATTTTCCATTAGTGAAAAAGAACTGCTTCTAAATAAGGTTGTGTTTTAATATCATAAATCCACCTTAAAGTGTACTAATATAATCTAAAATTAATTGAGCATTCATAATGTTCTGGTTGCTGTCTAGTAAACAAAAATTAACCTTGTTCTAGTTTGCTTTCTTTGGTGACATACTCTGGAGCAGAAGAAAAAAAATTATTTATGACCAGGATGAAATTTGTCTGATTAGAGTATTACATGTCACCTTTAATGAGAGATCATGTCCACACGTGATAGAGACATAAAAATTAGTTAATATCACAATGCCCACACAGAGTATCATTTATACGTACCACATGTACAATGTACTGTGGTTTTGTAAAGTAGTAATCACATTTTAGTTCTGTATTCTTGTTTTTAGTTAGACTGAGAACAATTAATATATTTGCAATTTAAGTTTTTGTTCAAATTTTCCTTTTAGGATTGATAAAAGCTATTTCTTTTTATAGGTAGTGATTAGTTTTACTTTGTTACTCCCTTAACTTATGAGCAAGAAAGACTTGATAAGTAAGCATACATTTTATTAGGTAAACAAGAAGCTTGTTTGTTTCCAATACGAAGATAAACAATAATTTTCAAATTATTCCTCCCATTTCAGTTTTAAAGAAAACTATAAAGATTTTAATCTGGGCCTGAGAATAATGGTCTAGCTCTACCCACCCCCTCAACTTACCATTTCCTTTTCAGTTGAAGAAAAAATTAGGACTTACCCAAACTCATTATGTCAGTTTGAGTTTTCTAGGAAGCAGAGGCCAAGATAGACTTAGAAAGGCAAGAGATTTACTGAGAGTAAAACCTAAGACAGACGAGGGGGTAGGAGAAAGGAGCCCTTGGAGAACACCTCTGG